CCCCCCCGATCAGACGCCGGGGCCCTGAGCCTGTGTCCCGCTGAAATACCGGGGGGGGTCATTAAGGGGCTCTGAGAGGGTCTGTGGCAGCCGCTGTCCCCAAAGCCCCCTGGCCTGGAGGGAGCCACATGGCCTCTGCCGAGCCGCTCCTAGGGCATGGGCAACGCCGGCCGAGGAGGGTAGCCACAGCCAGTCAAAAGGCGATTTCCACTTCTCCTGGGCCTCCCCCCTGCTCCCCGAGGCGGTAGATGGTGATGAGACTGGTGAAAAAGAGAGAGCTGTGGTAGCCAGGGTCTGAGGGCACGCAAGCCACAACCTGGGTGCTCTTGGTGGCTTCTCAGATGCCTCCATTGGTCTGTAGCCCCTTGCCGGGTAGGGCAGATGTAGGGTGTGGAGTGAGGCCTGTTGCATTCTTGTGACTCCAAATAACAAATGCTTACGTGGAGAGATGCGTTGTGGGAGTCTGCAATAAAGGATATATTGAAGAAGGCAAGCCATTGCTAATCCCCAAAAGTATTTTCCTGAGTGAGTCAGAGAGCACTGCACCATGAATGTCATCTACTTGCTTGTGTTTCTCAGCCAAGGCAGTAAGACCTTGGCGGTACAGATTTCCAAAGCTGCTGGTAAATCCAAAAGTATTAGTTTAGTGACTGATCTGTGACCCGTACTTGCAGGGAAGGACCAATTTCTAGACCCAGACCCAGTCTCCAGATTGAAGTCAGTAGCTTGTCTGAAGAAGCTGCTCACTGTGACCAACACTACAACTGTGGCACTTCATTTTTTTTCACTAATCTTTTCTGAGGAATGAAGACAGAGATTGCGATGTGAGTCAGTTGACGCATTTCCGATGCAAAAAGATGGTTTGCGTTCTTGTAGCTGGAAGGGAAGCTGTGTTTGAGTTTCATTTCCTACAAAAGCAAAGAGTAGTTGCCACTCTGCTTGGTTTTACATGTGGTCATGCAGCTCATACGCAAGTGACTGCAATCCTTCCTTTCTGCCAGGAAACCACATCTGAAAATCTCTCTGTGTGAATTTCAGTGTCTGTAATTCATGACTATTTTTTCTTTTTCTCACGGTAACAAACTTTTGGAGAAGTTCTGTACCCTTCCTGTTTGAATGTGGCCATGGCTTATTTACCTCACATGGGGCTACAGGCCCAGCTTGAGGGGTAGCGCTGCACAGTTCTCATCCTTTAGGACATGTCAGTTATGACTGACGCATGGGTGTGCAGCCTGGAGCTCTCAAAAACATGCCAGAAATAGGTTGTAGGTTGCAAACCTTTAGGATTTTTTACCAGGTCTTCAGATGACTTCCTGTTTGTTGCCTATAGTTCCATCACTTATATATTGTTTTACGTAACAGCAATCCCAAGATTGCAGGGTGCAAAAGACACTCGTTCTGACGAAGCCCAGGAGAGAGCAAGTGCTCTCTAGGTTGCTATTTTAAGCCAGGAAGAAAGACAAGGTTTGAAGAAGTTTCGACTCGCATTTTGGAAGGAGGAAACCACTAGGCTGGTGTTTTTTCCTAAGGAATTTGTCTTCCTCTCTGAGACTCCACCCCAGCTCTAGTAAACATTTCGCAACGCTTCTCTGTCAGTGACATCATCTCTATATACATATGTTACAATAAACTGTCATTGATATAACTAGCTGGGTCTGGCTGAAATTTACAAGGAAATAGAATTTTCTTGCAGTTTTCAGTTTCAGGTCCAGTTCTTTCAGACCGTACTGTGAAGGCTGATCTAAATCTCATGACACATACATCAGCCAGCCAGGTGAATAAAAGAAGTCCACCTAAGTAAAATTGCCTTGTAACTGTAGCTCTAATGTTATATTTTACTGTGAAGTATTACTTTGTCTAAAGCGACGTTCAATTAATTGTAAGACCAGAGCTCTGTCTTTGCTTGGCTTGTGTTACAGAATAGCATGGTGCTTTCTGCTGCTATCATCGTCACGCTGATTGGCCTGATCGTGTATTTGCACTTTGTGAAAATCGACCAGGAATCACTGTTGGTCATCGGCTCGCTCGGCATTCAGGTGACTTCATCCTATGCTTCAGGGAAGGAGAGCACAACCTTCATTGAGATGAGTCAAGTGAAAGATGTGGTTATCAATGAAGCCATCCATATGGTAATCATGCACAGTCTTGCTTCTTGTGGATCTGTGGGCACACTCACATCCAGTGCATTTTCATGATCATGATTTACCAGAGCAATTAAAGCACGGCACCATCCATAGCTTTAGTGACATCAGGAGCTTTGTTTCAGATTCCTTTCTTTATTCTCTTATCTGTTCTCTCACTTTTAAAGGAGAACTTAACCCAAACAAATAACATCAAAAAGCCAAGTCCATCCCTTAGATAACGCCACTGGCACTGAGCTGGTGGTTTAGTTGTGTTGAACTGTTCTTACAAACCCTGATGCCAAGCTCCATAAGTAGTCAAGACAGAGATGAGAAGATAGGTAATGCAAGAGATGATTTTTCCAATTTCTGAAGTTTTCCGCAAAGCTCCTTTAGAAAAGCAGACTTTACCCTTCCAGCATGTACGTGTTCCTTTCAGTTTAAAAGTATAATAGAAAAAAACTCAGGTACAATTATTTTTTTTATTGTGTGAATGGAGGAAAGCTATAAATTTGTAGACTTGACTGTGGCCTGGGGTGATTGGCCTTCAGCCCATTGAGGTGAAACAGATTCTGTGATAACTCCTGGCACTTTGATGGCATCATCAAACTCTGATGATTTTGTCTGTTTGTCTTGTAGCAAAAAGTTATCTACTACCTGTGCATCCTCCTCCAGGACCCTGGAGATCCTCAGGGAGTATCTGAAGTTGTGCCGCTCTTCCAGGTGAGTTTGCCTGAATGATGGAGAAATCCAGCTCTGTGCTCTGTGTGTGTGCACCAGTGGCCTAAGTGTACCTTTATTCTACTACAGGTAGCTGATTACAGTTGCCTTTCCCTGACTGGGCCTTCAGGCATTGTGGAATGGGTGGTCTTGGAAATCTCACAGAATTACGTACCAGGGGTGGTTTTTTAATTTGCCCTCCGTTCAAAGACCAGGGAGCTGCGTAAACCTGAACCCAACTGGGAGCTTGCATGAAGTAGAAGTCTTTGGCTCCCATAGGCTGCTGAGGACTCGTACGGCTTTCTCTGTAGTCCTGTGCTCAGTGTTACCATCATAACTATAGCACTGCGCTGTAGCTGATTTTTCTCTCAGCTCTGTGTGCCAAAAGTGCTCATAAAAACCTCCTTGGCATACGAATGACTTCCCCTGTCTCACCCGTTGACAAAGATCACAGTACAAACTGTGAGCAACTTGCTTAATGTATAATAACTTGTTTGCTGTACCATTACCCTGTCTCCCCTTTCTCTTCTTTTGCTAACCTGTTCATAATCCCATTTTGGGGATAGATCTTATTTCTGCCTGATCCTTGGGTAGTGGTAAGCTGTACAGAGGTACCTCACACCTTAGACAGCTGATGTTTATAGCCCTCTCTGTCCTTCTTAGTTCACTTGCTGCTAGTAATTATCAGTTTGTAGTCCACATCCAGTTTATGACTGGATACAGTTAGTCTTCAGCTAAATACTGACAGGTATAAGCAGAGTATTCCATTGACACTTGCTGCTAGCTCGGTCCCACAATTGTAAAGACATTTTCTAACAGTAATATAAATAAAGTATTTCACACATAGTCGAGCGAGAAAAATGGATTTGCTGGAAGTCAACAACTACTAAATTCCAGCTGCACTCAGTCCCTTTCCAGTGTGCCTTTTCAGCTTTGAAGAGGCTGCCTGGCAGCCTGTACATTCTTTTTTTTTTTCCCTAGCTCAACTCTGAACAGTGTTATTTCCATGGAAATATCCTAGCATTGGTAGAGCTGACTCCACCGGCAAAGGAGATACAGAAAGAGCTGTGTCAGTTTGCAATTCATTACCTGTCAGTAATTCTCACTTTAACATGCAAGTTAGTGTGTTACTTTGTTTGGATGGAGCAGTAATTAGTAACTTTATTGCGTCTCCTTCACTGGGTTCCTCTAAGTTATGTCAGTCTTCAAAAATAAAATTTACCGTGTCACTGAGCCCAGGAGCAGTTCTGCGCTGAATTGACCTATTGTTCTCTTAAGCAACACTTGCAAGGAGAGGCATTTGATGGACTTTACACAGTAATGCTGTTTTGGGAGCTCAAAAGTCATAGGACTGTAGGGACTGTGGAACTGGGAAACTTTCACCTCCTTGCTGGTTTTAATCTGGTCCAGGTTGGAAGTGATAGAAAATCATTATACTTTGACCACTGTTTGCTGTTTGTGTGAAATGACTTGATGTTTTCAGTTAACCTACCATTGTCCTTTTGTTGACAGTACTGCCAGAGGCCAAGAGCCAGGTGTCTTAATTCTCTGTCCTGAAGGTAGACTTTTCAGGGTGGAGGACATCTAGGATGGTAGATTAGTGTATGGAAATTCGTTTGGTAGGTCTCTAGAGAGAGTACAGCCTAGTTGATAGGTTAATGGGCTGGAAGGTGTGGATTTTCTTCAGTGCTGTCACTGTGCACTGTGAGCAGAGAAAGAGGATTTCTGATTTGGTGAGAGACTTGGGCTAACTGCAGAATGGTGCTGCATGTTTTGACCTGACTGCTTTAGGGACTGGCATTTTTCATCACAGAGCAGGTATGGCTTATGGAATGGCTTTGCATTCCTATATCACCAGTTTACATCAAACACCTCCTGGAGTTTCATGAATTATTTATCAATGAGCATGTAAAAGGGAAATCTGTCCTCCATTGACTTAATGTGAGGAAGCTGATGAACTACAGATACCTTGCTGTTGCTGTTCGTTCTACGTCAGCTTCTGATAGTCAGCTTTGTGTCAGTATCTCCACGTTTCCTTTCCCTGCCTGACAAAACTCACTAGTGGGAAGTTAAAGCTTTCCAGCTCTTTTACAGCCAGTTCAGAGCCTCATTCTCTGTTGTTTGTCTTGAATCCTAGAGCTCCCAGCCACGTCTGGACTGCTTGATAGAAGTGTACAAAAGTTGCCAAGAGATCCTGGCGCAGAGGAAGACGGCTCCACAATCAAGTGGTATAGAATAATGAAAAAAAAAAATCAGTGCGGCGAACTTGCAGCAGGACTTGGAGAAACTCATGGAAAAGCAAGCAAAACTGCCCCATGTCTTCTTGTAATTAATGAGGAGAAAGTGGTGCAGCAGTAGAGTGAGGTTAGGGCTAAAGGCCCGCGCAGACTCCGAGAATTGTTACAGAAAATGTCAGCTCAAGCTGACAAGTGAACCTCAAAATCCTCTGCTGTGGAGGGTGTGGGGAGAACTTTTTAGAGTCAGCCAGAGAAGGTTTATCCTTGCCTCTCCAGAAAAGAATTATGGGGAAATTATGAGCAAAAGGAGACAAGAACATGCATCAAACGTTTACTCCACAAAAAAAAGTGGATCTGAAAATTCTGATAAACTCACAATGTAACCTTGGCCGGACTGCCAAAAATGTGCATTTTTTTTGTTTCTATTTAAGCCTTTGATTGAAAAAACCATGTACCACTCTAAATACCAAAGCTGACGGGTGGACTGGGACAGTAACCCTAATCCACATAAGAATCTCAGAAAGAACATAAAATTAAAATATACTGTTGCATTCAATTATGTTTAATGAAATAAACATAGGAGAGCAGACCTTGGCCTCTTCAAGGATCTGCTCTCATGGGATGGGATCCTAGAAGGAAGAGAGAGGGTCCAAGAAAGCTGGTTGATACTCAAGGATCACCTTCTCCAAGCTCAAGCACAGTCTATCCCAGTGAGCAAGAAGTCAAGCAAAAATACCAATAAGCTGGCATGGATGCATGGGTGAATGGATGAATAACTTGCTCCTGGAAAAACTCAAACACCGGTGGTGGAAGCAGGGACAGGTAACCTGGGAGGAATACAGCAACGTTGTCTGAGATGGAGTCAGGAAAACCAAAGCCCACCTGGAGTTGAATCAGTTGAGGGATGTCAAAGGCAACAAGAAGGGCTTCTGTAAGCACATAAGTTGCAAAAGGAAGGGAGAGAACATGCAGACTCACTGCTGAAAAGGGCAGGGGCATGGTGATGCAGGACAGGGAGAAGATACAGCGTTGAAAGGGCCACATCAATTGTTCTGAGAATATGAGGCAAACGTGTTGTTGAAAATGATGGTAATGACTATGTGAATAAAGTTTTATTGATCTGTACTCCCATGAGTAACTTAACATTGGGAATTTCTTCTTTGTTGATGAGCTAAAAGTTACTGTAACCTTTAACTGGTATTTTTCTCTCTTTTTTGCCATGACTCCTTAGTAACATAATTAAGACAGTTGAAATGTCAAAACAAGAGCTAAACCAGCAAGTTGTCAGGAGCCTAGAGGCCGTGCTTAATTTGCATACAATGCTATTCTATGGTTGTCTACACCATCTCGAATTAAAACGTGGTAACATACCATCATGCAATATAGTAGAGATAAGGCAATTTTTTTTTTCCCATGGTGCTGCAAAGTTTGAAAGATCCTGGTTAGCTCATGTCACAGGAAGCATTCTAGTTGTCCAAGTGAAAGGCAGCAGCTTGGGGATGTGCCACTGGCTTTTGGGTGACATCTAAGTTACTTAATTTTTTATGGGTTTATTTCTCATAATTGGGGTTGGCCAGAGTTTTAATTCCAGGGCTGCCCTAATGTAAGTTGGTGGGTCTCTCTGAAGTTAGTGAAGCTGCAGCCTGATGCAGACTAGCTGGGTGCAAGTCCAGGCAGAACTGGGGAGGGTGGCTGTTGGGGCAGGGGCAGAAAAGAGTGGCAGGCCCTGGGAGCGTGACCATGTCAATGACTGCAGGGGAGGTCCTTTGACTAAGAAGCACGTGTTATACTTGAGTTTCATATAGCTCAGGGTGCGGTTGAGTCAGGCTGTGTTTCTTCATGGGGAGGAGAAATGGCCGAGGCCCTCGAGGAGTCCTATAGCAGCAGGAAGATTTGCTGAGCTGTGGGGAGAACAAGTCAGAAAATAAATTATGTCTCAGTGGAGCGGACAGAGTCTTTGGCTTAAGAGTGTGCTGGGAACACTGACTATGCTGTAAAATACCATGAAGTCCTGAGAAAGTGCACTGAAGAAACCACCAAGTAGCTGTGTCACAGGAGGAAGTCTGGAAGGTTGTTTTAGCCATCTTTTGAAGAAGCCAACATCCTGCACCCATACGAGTGCACTTTAGTCATGCACTAAAATTAAGAGATCAGCAGAGACAAATGAGGAAACAGACTAAGGCAGGTTTGCACAAGGTGTGTGTGTGGATATCAGACACAGTCTTTGTCCTTTTTTTTTGTTTACATTGAGACTGTTTTGGCTTCTTTCATTCTGAGAATAATACAGTGTAATCAATCACAACTGCATTTTATTAAGAACAAGCAGAAATCTCACAGTATTTCCCAGACAGCCTTTTACATACACACAGCAGTTGGGTAAACAAAGGCTCCTGTCATCTCATTCTATGCTGCAGCAATAATCATTGTCAAAAGCATTGATTAAAATAAAAATTGTTTTCTCTACCAAAGATTCATACAAAATAGATATCTACACAGGTTTGGTTGGTTGGATGAAGTCAGGTAAGCTATAAATAGGAGGTATATGTGCATCCATCAGAGTGGGGTTGTCCCTGAAATACTCAAGTATTGATGAATAAAAAGTTCTATATGCCATGCTTCTCAATTTAAAGTGCAGTTATAGCAGAAAATAATGAGCTTTGGGGCAGCTCTTGCTTATTCAAACATCTGTGCTTCCTGTTTGCCCTGGTCCAAGTCTCTCAGGACACGAGTGTCAGTGCTGTGAGGGAAGTACAGCCTCTGAGCTGCAGACTTTTATGCCTTGAGCATCCCCAGCACTGATGACAGCTCAGCTTATTCTGAAGCAGCTCAGTTACTGGTGGGACACAGACCTTCAGGTACGGGAGGAAGAGTTAGGCACAGGTGATTGAGTGAGGAGGAATAATGCTCTCTGTATTCAAACTGATGTATTTATACTAAGATCACCAGGTATGTGAGAGAGCAGTGAAATACGTACTACTGACCACTCTATCAGTATATATAGTCACTTAAAAGTATCTAAGGGAAAAAAGAGAGACTAAATACCTTCTCAAAATTGTTTTTGGCTCAGAAAGCTTCCACCCTTTTCTGTAGCTTCAAGGGATGGTCCTTAAATTCATAACAAGTGGGTACATTACAGTATGTGCCAATCAGATCTCTCTTCATACAATCTTGTATGTCCCATCCTGTCCTTTTTTAATTTGTGGCTTTGCAGCAATCATAAGTGAGACAAAAACTTCTTGAAGTATCAGCTCCACTGTGTGCATTAGTTGGATATTTCAAGGTTGGTGGCAGGTACCAGGGAGTAAAAACACTGGTACGGTTGGTTTGTTCATTTGTGAATAGCTTTGGTTTGCTATTACTGGATTCTTTCTAATGGTTGGATTCACACTGTTTGAATTTGGGAAAGTTGCCCATGAATGCGTAATTATTATGAAGTTGCAGATGGTACTTTTGAAAGTGCAGTTATCCTTCCTTAGCTTTTTTAGAATGTTTATGAGACTAGCTGAACTCAAGCCGGGCAGATTTAGATTCTTTCAAGACAACCTGCTATTTGTTTGTTTTTTTTTTTTAAATATTGTTTAAAATCCATCAACCTTCTCAACCATAACAAAGTCCCTTTGAAACAGATTCAAAACCCCCCATTCTTTAGGAAAGTCTGAAGAAGAATACTTGAGTACACATTTGCTGACTACCTCCTCCTTGCTGTGGGAGCACGAAGGAAGCAGGAGTTTGAAAGGATCACCTTCTGTCAAGTCAGAATGGCAGAGCTGGTTTGGGAAGATCTGTTCCAGTTGCTGAAAGACAGAAAAAGTACAAAATTTGCTTGCCTGGTCTTCCTTTGTCTGAGATTGTGTGCAGTTTCAAACACATCCCGAGACATCTACGACAGTGATTAACAAAAAGAGTCTTTGAAAGTGCTTGTCTGATGGTGGAGCATGCAACACCTTCAGTCCTGCAGCAGAGATATAATGTTTCTCTCTTTGTAGAACAGCATCGGCTCCCGAAACATACCCATCCTGTAGGAGACAGGGCATCATCTGACAGTGTTCCAGTCCCAGCCGTTCTGAGTCCTCAACATGCAAAGACGTTTCAGTACCACTGAACTCTTATTCTGTACTCCGTATTTCAGATCTGAAATTACCCTTGACTTGCATCAGAATTAGTCTTGTCAGTTTAGTTCCTCTTTCTTCTAAACTGTCTTCTTCCTTTCATGCCTGGAGCAAGGACTTGGAAAGTTTCTGTCTTTTGGTTTTGGCATCAGTTTCAGGGAGTAGTCGTTATAGCTCTAGGGAAAATTAAATTGTCATCTTGGTTGTGTTAAGCAGTTGCATAGAAATGATTATGGTCTTTGCAAAAAGACTATCTTAGTAGTTGTTCTGGGAGTGGCAGAATTGAATTTAAACATGGTAAAAAAACTTTAGTGTGATGGCTATTCACAACCAGAGTATAGAACCAAAGTTATGTCTAAACTACCTGATCAGACTATGTCAAGTTAATCTTTACACTCTGGTAATAGCCTTTCCATGGTATATCTAGTTTACAGTGCAGTGATACGCAGCTCCTAATACAGGCAGTATTCAATAGGGTGCATCTTTGTACAGGGTTCGTGCCACATGCCACACCATCCATTACCACCTGGTTTTACTTTTAATAGGTCTGTGTTCAGCCCACTGAGTCAGATTCAAGCCTATTGCCACTCAAATCTGCTATGCAGAGGTTGCAGTCTAACCCAGGTAAAAAGTGAGCGTGTCAGGGATTGATGCAAACAGAAGATTATTGGAAATAATTGTAATAACTGAAAGGGGCTATGATGAGGAAAAGAGCTCACTAGGAGTTTTAAGAGCTGGACTGTGATTCCAGACACAGGGTGTGTGACACAGGGTGCGCAGTGATCTAAAGGCAGGTGCAAAGCTGAAAATGGGAGGGATCAAAGAAAACCTTTGTGCTTGTAAGCACAGCAGTATGATCAGGAGATGGAAGAAGAATAGGTGCAAGGAAGGAGAGCAGATGTAATGTGACTGGAGCACTGTGCAGGCAAGTGACCTGAGGCATGGTATTTTGGATGGAGTGTGGCATGGAAACAAAACTCCTGCACAGTCCCCAAAAGCAAGACTTTTTAAAAAAACAGAAGGGACACTGCCTCTACATCCACTAAGGAACTTTGTCTATTCTTACGGAAAAAGAATCAGAGCCTGCATTAAAGTAAGGTGTGTAACCAGCAAAATCACAGCAGCAGTCTGTAATTCAGTACAGAGCAGTGCAAAAAAAAAAAAAAAACCAAACCACAAAACCAACCGAAAACCAAAAAACAAACAATCAATCAAATCCCTCAAGTCATTTGGAATGAGCCCTCAGAGCAGGGTGGGCCCCTTAGTGCTTCGGGGCACCGATGGAAAAAAGCACCGACTTTCAGTCTCCCAGAGCTTGTTAGCAGGTGTTCTGCTGCGGGAGGGCTGGGTAGAAGGCAGGAGCGAAGGTGTCGAACGGTAGTTAATATAGCTGGCAATAAGAAGTGTTGCTTCAACAATCTAGGGGAAAAAAAGAAAATGATTAACTGTAAGTCAATTAGAGGTAAGAGTGCCCTTTGATTTTTAGAACCCATTGACTGCATAACTTTTGCAAATGGCTTTCTCACATGGAGTTGTTGGTTTTGAAGCGAAGGTCTGTCTTCAAGAGTTAGGTCTCACAGTAAGTCTCTTGATTAAAGGTTCCAGCTTACAAGGGATTTATTGAATGTATGTAGCTAGTGCAGCAGCCACAAGTACATGTCCCCTGGGCCTGCACAAAATGCCCAGCTGTGATGCTGCCAGATGGAAAGAAATTTGCTGTTCATTTTATAATTACCTTTGGAATTGCCATTGTGAAAAGGAGTTTTTCAGTGCTGTTTTTTCCAGAACTCCTTTCCTTCATTTGACTGACTACAATCATGAAGTCATCTCGACAGCCTCCAAAGGTCAGCACAGAGGAGTATGAATAAGAAACCTTCAAGTGCTGCAGACAACAGAGAGTTTGAAAGAGTCATAGTTCTATAAAAGAAAAAATGGACACCTTAAACTAATGTATCTGCTACTTACGGCAAGAACACCAGATCTCCAGCAGTAATAAACAGTATAGGGAATTGGCTCTATAGGTAATGGCTGGCAGAGAAATCTCAAATAAGAATTGCATTTCCAGTTTTCTCCAAGCTTGCTCTATGCCTCACTGCTCCAGAGCAATAATCCAAACTTTGTTATATCCCAGATGGTGGTAGTTAAGCACATACCACTGAGATTTTGGAAGATGTATGAGCATGTTTGCTGCTCATCAGAGAGGCAGTTAGCTGTTTCGTGAAACCTTACCTGACACTGGAGCTGTAATTTTCCTTTGTTTATGTAGTGTTCAAACATAGCACTGACTTCCCTCATCTCTGACTTCTACAAATTAACTTCTGGATCCATTTGAAGTTAAAGACAAACTTTTAGTGACTTTAAGTGGACTCAAGGGAATGTCTTTCTGGGGGAAGTAAGTTACTTTTCTTAAATGGTGTTCCTCACCATACCATAGTGTTATAATCCAGTATGCTGATACCATCTTCATTCACAGCTATCCAGACTGGACAGTCTTCTAATGAGGAAGGCAAAACAGGCTACAGAAAAAGAATTATTAGTTTAGATATTTCTTGACCACCATTGCAAAGACGTTTATTTCACCACACACATAAATCTTGGGTTTTAAGGATAAAGTAAAGATGAGGGTCTGAACCAGTTTGACTTTCCAGAGGACTTCTCTCAAAACCTGGAATAGCATTTTCAGATTTACGTAAGAGTTTTGGGACTAATGGCACAAGAGTTCCAAGGATAACAAAGGCATTGAGATGAATTAAATTCCATCTATGTGGTTAAAACTGAAAGAAATGCTAGGACTGAGCAACAAAGCAGCAGTTCTGCTCTGCTGTGGTTCTTATATTGCTCCCATCAGTCAGGCAGGCAGTGAAGCCTGTTGGTTTCTATAATGCCAGTGCACCCAGTCACAGTTTTCTTTCTTAAAGAGTTTGGCAAATGTGCATTAATTATCTGTTAAAGATGAGTTATGTGTTGTTATGACTAATGCCATGAACCTTTACTGGGAATCTGCTAGTATCTGACTAATGCCGTAGGCTTTGCTGTTTAACTATGGAAAAAGTAAAAAATATATTAATAATCAGAAATATCAACATTATTTAAACTCTGGTGGAACTATTCTATGTTCTGATTCTTCAGTGTCAGTAACTTCACATACCAGTAACCTCTTCTGCTTTTACTGCTGACAGTGGAAATAATTGTCTTTTTGAAAACTTATTGTGTATTTACTCCAGAGGTCCCGTTCATCCTTAGACTTTATGCCTTAACTACAGCAGCTTTGACTTCAAAGCAAGGAACACGTAACTATGAACAAGACCTATCTCAAGCTTTACATAGAGGAGGTTTCTGCTGGCTTGGGGAAGATGGTTAACGCGAAAACAAGATTCCTCAGCCACAAGTGCTAAGACCTTAGTTCAGGCATGGGAAACATGTAGAAAGCTCTACCCTGGGATGGGATGAGAGATGGTACAAGCTACTGGGAGAAGCTCCAGCTGTTTTTGCTCTCCTGCTGATGCCTGTGGGCTGGCAGCTTAACCAATACGTGCTTTAGTTTTTCTGTTTCTGCAACAGGACAGTAGCAGTGCTTGCCTCTCTCCTGTGAAAAGGAAAGCAGCCAGCTCTGTGTCAAGCAGAGGACAGGACTGAAATACCCATTCTCCTTTTAGAGAATCAGCTGCCAGGTGTGATTATGGGGGACTCTTCCCTTCCACCCCCCGCAGTCGTATGTAAATAGTATTTTTAAACTATCATTGCAGCCTTGATGACCAGGAAAATTCCTGCCTGAGAAAGCTTTGGCAAGGTTTGTAAGGAGATTTAGTTCTCTGTATTATGATCAACTGATGCAGCCAGGGAACATTCAGTATTTATTTACTAAACACTAGCAACCCCTAGTGTTTAGAACGTATTTATCTTCTTTCTAAACCTATGTGGTACCAAACAGAGCTGTTAGTTCAGAACAGACTATTGTTCAGTTTTTCCCTTCCTGAAGTTAAGCATTTTCAACCCGTGTTAACCAGAGATCATAGGTATGTCTGCTCAGATAGTTCACTCAGGAACAGAAAAAAAAAAGTGTACTCCTGTTACCTTTGCAGTAAATACTTTGGCTCCAAAGAGAGGCCATTTCCGGGCCACTGTCAAATAAATTCGAATGCATTCTGGTGGAGAGCATCCCTGTAGAACCATCCACTTTGTTGCCAGCCTGTCAGCCAGTTGCCTTTCACAGAATCCAAGACACAAGACATCATTATTCACTAATGTCTTCCAAGGAAAGGTGGGTAAAATTGTAACAATTTATAGATGTACCTCCCTTCCCAAAAGGGCTGCTCCACACAGCACCACAGACAGGGCTGTTTGCACTGTCAGTTAAGAGGGTTGTACAACCTGAGTTTATTTTAGCATTTTAATGCTCAAGAATCACAGTCACATGTGGGTTACTCACTGGTGTATATACTAAACTGTAACTACAAATACTCAGGCAGCTGTTACAGTAAAATCCTGCCCAGCTTGTCTTCACGTTCAATTATACTCACACCTTCATCTTAACTGTAGCATACTCTATATGGAGTGGCAATATATATTAACTCGCTCTCCATTTGGCTCACTAGGGATGGTTTGGCAGCTATCTTGCTACATGCAGATGGAATTTGCTTCCAAAGGGAGGTAATTGTGTTAGTTCCACCACTGCATGCCTAAGTAGCTTTGGATCTGGAAGATTATCTTTCTCTCATTAAAACAGTTAGAGCTGAGATCCATGGCAGTATCCGAATTCTGTACTTGAGATCTCTGCATTGTGTGTGAAAATTTCCAAGTCAAAACTTCAAAAAGCCCTGCTAAAATATGTCCTACTAGAATTACTCCATGGCCTGAAGCAGCCCATATGTGCTGGCTTTATGGCTCGTTGCAAATGTTAGGCATCTGGATTCAATTGACACTTGGGGGAAAGGAAAAAATTCAGAAATAGAATTCATCTTAGGCTTAGGTTAGAGTTTGTTGGAACCGAAATGGCTAATTTGGAAGTGAAAGGCTTAAACTTTTTATTTAGGCAAAAATTAGTTGGTATTTGGCTCTTTTTATATTAGTTAACTGCTATTTTCTTTTAAAGGAACCTTTTACACTGACACTTGTGTTTTGGTTAAGTTTCTACATCAAATAATCTTGCCAGGGCTCCTTGAAACTTTTTCAATATAAAGACAGAATTTTGCAAGTAAAATTTGTTTTCAGTGCAAAGTACAGAAGAGCAAACAATTTACCTGAGCTGTTCGGGAGTAATGTTTTGCTTGTAGCGTTTGGGGTAGAATTTATCTAAGACCTGGTGGAGAAGATGCTGCATTTTTGATTGTGATGTTCCTCCAGGACTCGAAGATCCTGGTCGATCCAAATCCCCATATTCCACCTAAGACAACATTATCATTTATAGTGCAACAGAACTGTGGGGCTTTTAGTGCAGTAGAACATTCCATGAATTCCCATAATAATAACTACTGTGCTTATTTGTCATGCAAAAAGACACCATCAGACTGGGAAAATTTGTAACAGCATTTACCACAGCAAATGTCTACAACAGAGCAACCACTGAGGACATGACCACCCAAGGAATTCTTTACTGATCTAAGAAAGTGAAACAGGAATTCAGCCAGCTACTTGTTGTAGGGAGACACTTCTGAATAACTGCCAAGCTTTTGGGGTTGATTTTCAATTAGCCAATTAGAACAACAGCCTATCTGCAAATAGATTGGACATTGTTCCCGGCTTCTTCATCTCAGTTTACATTGCTTTAACAAATGCAACAGTTTCAGCTCAGTAAGAAACCATTACCCTGTTTATCATGCCCACAACCCATACTGTATGTTTTATGTGGTAATAGCTAAATGCAAGCCTGGAGGTCTAATGGAGGATCCTACATGATGGTCTTCCTGAGTAAGAGCCTATTGGCAGTGCAACAGGGAAAGTTTTTACTATTAAGTGGAATTCTAATAGTGATACTATTTCCATATCTCTATTAAGGCACTACTTGGAGCAGCGGTGGGTATAGTCCAGCCTCACTGTTTTCTCCAATATTTTTCTTCAGAAGGAAACAAAAGGCACTCCTGTTGCAAATTTCCCCACAGCAAAAGGTGTTCTAACAACATATGTATGCTGGTATAATCTGTTTGGCATGGTACATCTCAGACTGTATGTTTGATAAGAAAAACTACTTTTGATGCAAAAGAGAGCTGCTTAGTCAAAGATATTCAGCTGAAGTCCCTGGAGGACAAAAAGGAGTATTTGTGCCCATAGCTGTACTCACCTGAGCCATCAGAGCCACCATTTCCAGAGCTAATTCCTTATTAACAGGAAATCTTCCATTGGCTATTTCATTGCTGACTTGAAAGGCCAGTAGCAACCGCTCCCGGTCTGTCTCACCTTTGGCCTGGCTCCGAAAATATAGCCTAAAAACCAGAGAGGATTGTGAAGGCAAAAAGATACTGTGAACTGAAAATAGATGAATTTTGTGTATTGCGGCGGTACTGGACAGAGATTTGGAAGCTGAGCTGCTTCTGTTATGAACAAGATTTAAGCAAGGAGGCTCAAAACATGCTTCCTAGCTTTGGAAGCCGTTTGAATTCTGAGTGCCAAGCACTTCAAGAAAGTGAAGCCTTATTAAACACAGGTAAATCGGTGTCCATCCATCCCCATCAAACACAGGCAATATTTAAGATACGGCCTTCTCTGCTTATAACAGAATGCAGAACTGTCTCTGCTTTACATGTATAAACTTCTACATGACAGCCTTGTAGACTTGTTATTTTTGCCAGCTTTGTTTTGACCAATTACTCTTATATTGTTATTAAAAAAGTCTTCAGTTTGCATCAGCAAGAAATAATAGAAAAAATTGAAGCAGCGTTCTTGCAAATCAAAGCTTCCTACTATTTTTTTATTCCCTTCATACTTGCAATTTCTTTGACTTGGTATAGCAGGATGATTAATAGGGCTTGAAGACACCAGCCTGGGGAATGCTTCCCAGAACCATTCCTCATACATGCCTATTTACAGCCCACACCATCTAATTCAAATATTAATTTACAGCTGCATCTATGACTATATATTCCACAATACAACAGAAGATCTTATTCCAGTGGATCAGTTCGTTTATTTTTATGTCAATCTAAGATTAACACCACCATTAGGACCGTAGTGACCTTACACATCTTATCAGAATCCTTGGTTTTAGAACACCCCAACCTTGGAAAGACCTTATCAAAACATCCTTGCTGTCCAGTCTAGGCACATTCCAGTCCAACAAAATAATACTGCAAAGATTCACTCCTGAAACAAATACTGCCTTCTAGGTCAAAAGCAAAACCTTCTGTTTCCAGCTCTGTTCTATCAACTAACAAAGCTCACAGAAATTTGTTTCCACCATTACAGTCAACAAAATCTTCATAAGTTCAATACAGAGCTTTGTCTCTTTTTGGTTTTGGGGTGGCCTTTGTTTTGGCTGCAAACAGAATTCACATGCAGAAAGCCATTTTTTGTTCTCATACACATCTCTCCATTCACTGTAATTTAGAATTCCTGTCTGTATTGTAAATGATGAACCTGTTCCAGTTTTTGGTTTAGATCTTTGTCTTATTATTTAATTCTCTACTATCTCTTGTCATCCAACTTTTAACGTTTCTTTCTTATATAAAGTCTGGGCACTGCTACTACATGTCTCCTCTACAGCTCGTGCCATTCAGAACATTGTTCCTCTATCTTTTTCATCTTTGTAATTCTTCACTTAATTGCAAGTTTCAGCATATTTGTTTTCACTGGTGATTTTTCCCTCAGGTCTCTCTTCCTCTCACCTAAGACACATTATTTAATTATGTTTTAGGATCTAGGCAAATGAAATCATGCCAAGTATATCTTATTGTGCTACAGCTAGTTCTTAACCCATTTTAAATCTAGTCTGCTATTGCAAAGTATTTTGAGTTTTACTTCTAGGCCATATACCCTTCTTTTACACATGTACCAAACACAAAAGTCATCACGTCTTGTACAGGATTTGAGCGTGTCTTTGCTAAAATAGTTTTGGCACTAACAGTACTATAAATTACTGACCATCTACAGAGATATAACCAGCCTAGAAATGTTATATTAACAGCAGTTGTGAGGCCAACCAACAAAGCACAGTACCTGTTTTTATAGGTCAACTTCACAATTCTTGTGCCACCTTCATATTTCCCGGGATGCAATTCTTTTAAGGCTTGTTCCCATTTAGAAATGACATCACAGATCTTTAAAAAATATGGAGAGAGGACAGACAAACTGAGGTGAAATGTATAGTCAAGGCTTGAGGGAAAAGTAAGGGAAAAAAGTATCGTGGAACACAAAAGAAATAGACTGGATCAGCATACACACAGCCAAAAGCGGCACAGCAATTCCTTTTATCTATTATGCAGTATGTAAAAATTGAAATATTCCTACTGAAAACTCCAGCTTTAACTTGCAAGGAGACATCTGTAAGTGAATTCTGGTCTGGTAGCAACTCTGTGACTATGTCTATGTTAGCACATAGCAAAGCCCAGGAGGAGCAGATTGCACTGTGGAACACTGGTCCCTAAGACCCTGTGCCCACACTTTATCAGTTTCAAAGGGTTTTCCTTTGGACTAGCTTTAGTCTGGTCAAATGGCCTGAGAGCCCACTACTATGTTCGATCACATCTTCCAGTTTATGTTTCATGTAAAAAGAATCCAGTTTATTCTTTCTAAGCTTGCTCCTTAATGTGAATCAAAGCATGGTTAATAGGAACGACTGGTAGGTTTGCTTCAAAAGTGCTGTCCTAAGCCAAACTAAAGTACTATCGCATCCTCCGAATAGCAGCTGCCTACCTGCTTGGCTAAAGCAAACCCCTGGATGTGAATGTCTGAACTTTGGGAAGATTTGGTCCTAGACTCCAACTTTGTAACTCAGACATATTTTTAGTAATAGCATGGTTAATCACTTTGGTTCCATTCAGCTTCTTTTGGTTATCCCAGTCCTTTCACAAGCAGTCTAATAAAGGCCCCTATTTCTCTTTTGATAGCATCTCAATAAAAGGAATGTGAACATTAGAAGTCAGATGAAATACATGATCAGATATCCTAATCCTCTCTTAAAAAGCTATTGAGGTTGCCTGGCCAACTAAATAATAAACAGTTAATAACCAGTAAAACGGATGCCTTTGATTGTCTCAAGCTCCTTCATTTACTATCTCATCTCTCCCAATGGTGGTTCAATTACCAGCAAAGCTCCAGATTATCTGATCTGCATCAGGCCATAAAACTGAAGTATTTAATTTGGCACTGTCTGTGGTAGTTTCCTGTTCAAACACTCTAATTTAAACTTCTCCCTCTGTTGCCCATTGTGAAATTCTATGCTGTGTAAAACTGCATGTTTATGTTCCTTACAGGTAGCAGGGCCTCTTCAAAGTTCCCACTACCAATATCCCTCCCTCAGTGCTGTACGACAAATTATTCTCCGAGATTTGTACCAAAATCTGATGTGTCTCACTCATAGCTGCTAGCCACTCACTTAAGGCTGTCATCCAGCTGCCGCACGGGTAAAAATCTCCATATGAAAGACACAGATGTTAATATTTGATCTGCTTTCCTCTTCCCTTCATCTGAGGCACTCCTCTCTCTTTTGAAGTAAAAGCATACTCAGTAGAGCTTTCTCCCCTAAGTACACTCATCAACAATAAAAGCCTGAGTTATCTGGAGATAGCAAGGAGATACTTCATAATCCAATAGATGAGATTTATATAGACATGCCAAGAGAATCACAGCCTAACACAAATCTGTCTCAATTAAGAGTGTCACATTTGAGGTTAGTTGTGATATCTGATCATGCTAGGTAGCTCACTCATATTTTAATTTTGCAGACAAGATAAATTAAACTTTAATATGTGCTTAAATCTGAGTTAAAGACTTTTTAAAAATTGACCAATTTATCACCTTCTAAAACAGAATGTGCTTTGTCCTAACTAGTGTTTCAGACTAGTCTGAGCTAATTAAGGAATCATAGAATTATTTAGGTTGGAAAAGACCTTTAAGATCAGAGAGTCCAACCACAAACCTAACACTGCCAAGTCCACCACTAAACAATGTCCCCAAGCACCACATCTAAATGTCTTTTAAATACCTCCAGGGATGGTGACACAACCACTTCCCTGGACAGCCTATTCCAATGCTTGACAGCACTTTCAGTGATGAAATATTTCCTAATATTCAATCTAAACCTCCCCTGGTGCAGCTTGAGGCCATTTCCTCTCATCCTGTTACTTGTGAAAAGAGACTGACACCCACCTCTCTATAGTCTCCTTTCAGGTAGATGTAAAGAGCAATAAGGTCTCCTTTCATCCCCCTTTTCTCCCCACTAAATAACCCCAGTTCCCTTAGCTGACCCTCATAAGACTTTTTCTCCAGACCCTTCACCAGTTCCGTTGCCCTTCTCTGGACTCCCTCCAGCACCTCAGTGTCTTTCCTGTAATGAGTGGCCCAAAACTGGACACAGCACTTGAGGTGGGGCCTCACCAGTGCCCAGTGCAGGGGAATGATCACTTCCCCTAGCCCTGCTGGCCACACTATTCCTGATACAGGCCAGGATGTTGTTGGCCTTCTTGGCCACCTGGGCACACTGCTGGCCAGCTGTCAACTAACATCTCCAGAACCTTTTCTGCCAGGCAGCTCTTCAGCCACTCTTCCTGAAGCCTGTAACATTGCATAGGGTTGGTGTGACCCAAGTGCAGGAATTAAGTGCTCTGAATACTAATGTAGATAGACAATACAAGTGTATTTGATCTTGCTGCATTAACAAAAATGTATTAGCCTTTTAGCAGCATACAAAGATGTATGCTGAAATTAGCAGAGGGAAAAAGAAAACACCAAAAAAATCAAAAACCTTCATGTTGCCCTGCAGACAATGTTCCAAATTCCTGCCAGAAGGATCATCTGTGAACAGAGAAAATCCCATGTGGGATGGCTTCCTCATTCCTGTCTCCTGGTTCAGTTGCTGGATGAATTCATCAACTGTTGAGGAACCATCAAAACCTACAACCTGCAATGAAAGAGGAGGTAACTGAGGATAACTTTCAAGAAACATGACATTGATGGGTATCACAACTAAAAAGCCTGGTTTTTTTTACAGATTGGTGTCTCATGATTGGTGTGTCAGCTCCAGTGACTGCACTTGCCTATCGTCACCCTTCACTTTGCATTCTTTCTCATACTGAGACACTTACAACATCTCTTTCTTTTCCCCAGCCAACCTTTTTTTTATCCTAAGACTTGTAGAGCTCGTGCTGGATTCCCTTCATTTTCTCAGGAAAAAACAGCAAGGAAGAGAAATAGTGTCTATCTCCCAATATCTGATGTGTATAATAAACACTATGGTGCCACCCACGCACATTAAGGAGACAGGTTATGGTGCAGTCCTCTAGTGCCCAGAAGAAAGGCAGCTGCTGTGGCTTACCTGGTAGGTACCATTCATGAAGTGCACTGGGATGCTAAAGGGGAGCGAGTGGTGGTAGGGATTTCTCAGCAGGATGGACACAATCTCCATCCGGGAGGGCTTGGCTTCCCGCTCACCAGCCTGCACAGTGCGGTCTACTGATCTCTGGCAGTAGATGGCATACTTGCCTATTTCACTCCTAGGCAAAGAGGTGGAAAGAAGACACAAACAAACATGCTTTAAATGCCATGTCCTCTTCCATTTCCAATGCCACGACAAAGCATTTCTCCCCCAGGCTTTGCTCAAGTAAAGATACATCTTTGTGCAGCTATCCTAGTTCATCTTGACAGACCAACAGCTCAAGTGAAAAGCTACAACACAAATCTCAGCTCCAAGGATCTGTAAAGATGGGGTACACAATGGACTCTCTGGGAAGTACAAAAGCATTCCCTGCTCCTAGATGGACTGGACATAGTATAGGAATATTCTCTTCTGTACCCTGTTGCCATCACAGTATCCATTAAACCAAGACCAGTTCACCTGCAAACTCGCTGTCATGCCAGTGGAATTTAGTTACTATCATGTCAAGTCCTGATAAGTATTATTAATAAACTGTAATGCATTAGTCTCACTTACAGGATTATACAAGTTGTGTTCATCAATTTACTTGGTTATAGAAATTCTAAGTTTCCATGTATTAACCTTATCTGCCAATCAAGAGAGTCGATAGAGATTCAAAGTAGGCTCAGATTTGCTAACAGGTCAGTACAGTATAGGGACAGACTAATATGATCAGTTTACTGTCTACTGAAAAGAGTGCTCCATCTGACAGCACCAAAAGGATCCAAGTGTCTCTCAACCAGGCAGGAACAGTCAATTACATCTTTTGCAAATGTTAAGAATGTATATACTGAATAAGTTCTGAAATAGAAGTATCTATATGGATTTATAACCGTGCTATCACTTTGCAGTGGAAACTAATCTTTTTATTTTTTTTCTAGCCTTAATAATTGTTTCATAAGTGGACTGCATAAATACATTTCCTCTCTGTTTCTGCCTTAAGTTTGGGTTTTTTGTTGTTGATAAAGGTACTTTTGGGCTAAGAACACGGCAGACCATCAGCATAGTAATGCATGAAACTGATGCATTAAATGAGTTTCACAGAGCCCAGCACATCTTTATGAAATTCAATAGTCCCTAAGGGTAGAGCAGGTCCACTACTGAGTTGAATGGGCCAGTTTGGGATCTGATAATGCACAAGTTTGAAGAGGTGATTTCTAGTACTAGCCAGAAGATCCCTAACATGTTGCCTAAGCCAGTAGAGACAGAGCCTGACTGTTGAGGAGCACTTGATATCTGTATTTTTCCTTCTGAGAAGAAATAGCAAATGTGAGACAGCATACAAGAAAATTAAGAAAAAAAACTTTATAGGAGGAGTACACAAGTTTCCTTTGAAATACTAGGAGACTTTTAGCTTGAGTTCCAAGGCAAACTTAGGCTGAGTATTTGAATATGAATACTTGTTTGAAATGAAGCCACTCTTTTACCTATGTCTTAGCAACAGAATATTGTTGTAACAGACAACTAGACATCTCTAGCTGTGACCTCCTCTCCAAGGACACAATGAGATATGCTGAAGACCAGATCACTATGGAAACAAAGAAAGAGCACAGCAGGAACACTGGAGAACAACTTATTGCGGTTACAGTAGATCTTGTACTGTTTTCTTACAGCGGAAAGTGTAACACACCAAAGAGGTAACAGAAAACAGTACTAGCACATATTTCAGGTTTGTTAGTTTTTCCTAACTTCTTGTGGTTCCCTGAGATGTTCTCTGCCTCACTTTTGTTGTCAGTATGCTTGCTTAACCTGATAACAAAATGTAATCACCTAAAATTCATCTAATCACCTAATTAATTCTAAATAATAACTTTGGTCTGTCTTTCTAGCAATAAAAGAAAGTAGCAACATCAGCAAAAAACTCCTTATGTAGCTCCAGTTATACCTCCAAAAAGTTCTTTTGCTAGTATAGGTCACTCAGTGTTGTGAACTAGCTTCATATAAGTGACAAATTAATGTGAGTGACCAAAGGGGGAATGACTTGATACCACTGGGAACTTTCTGTCCCCTCCAACTTATTTTTGCAGGTGTGAGTTACAAAACTGCTTCCATCTTTATCCATAGTGGATGCAAAAGGCAATCAGTTGAGCAGAAGAAAATGCTGTTGGAATCTTTACCTGGGGTCTGCATGTCGCTGGAAGTGCTGCTTGATGTACCAGAGGAAGTGATGTTGAGGCAGAAATAGAGGAGCACACAGAGCCAAGAGTTGCCAGCACTGCGAACATAAAATTGGACGTCATTCTTGTTCCGTACTTGCCTGTTGTCTTTCACAGAATACTGCAACCAAAATGTTGGATGGTGACCAGCACTTTTGGGAGTAACCATTTTTAGCCATGTAGTTCAAGGTGCTTCAAAGAGAAGTGATGGTCAGAGGACAGACTACTCTTCAATACCTCAACTTGGACTCCAAGAAGAGGTATTCTAAATGACTGGCCACTTTTGAAAATTTTCACTAGTGTAACCAGAGCTGAATGAACAATTAAGACTTAAAATAATACTTTTTTCCTGTTTGTAACTGCAAATCATAACAAAGAACACACTATGTAATTTTGTTTCAAATTAGACCCATTATTCTTCAATCAGATTTTGTTTTCTCATTTGAGCTGGGAATATTACAATCAAGTATTTATATTTATGCTGTAACTTATTAATTTACCCAATAATTATAGTGCAATAATCAGATTTCATGCTTAATAGTAATACTAATGATTTGCATGTGTTGATTAACTAAAATGGAAAACAGAATTAATACCATGTGACAATTATAGCTAGCCAACGCGAGCGATGAATTTTGATTCTGAATATGGTCTGAATAGACGATGTGCAACTGGTAAATGGTTAAAATAAAAATAAAACTTAGTTTGCAAGTAGTTACATTCTCAATGTTTTTCTTTACACATCAGTGTTGAGATTCTTTTTCCTCCAGCACACCTTTCGCATTTGCACAGCTTGGGAGTTGTGGTACTTGGGAGTACCAGTCCCATTGCTAATTATTAAAAACATGGAATTAAATAGAAAGTATTTGCAGAGCGGAAGCGACAAAAGAGGAACTGACCTGAATGACTGAGTGGTTCTGAGGCTGCCGGCAGCTGGTCTGTTTAACAAGCTGACAGTAAATTTCATTCTGCAGCTCAGTATGTGTCAAGCAGACCTGCAGTGCTGTCTGGGCAAGTGACACGTGGTAATCAATAGAAGGTGCCTCCACGGGGACATTGATGAACAGCTGACAGGACTGGAAAAGGGTGGAAGTTAGTACCACGAATACAATGACTCTTCTCTGGTACTTTGCAGGCCAGGTTCGCCAGATGTGTTACAGACAATTAACAAATTATTCTAAATAACCCTGAGAGGAGGGAGGAGAATAAATACTTAATTCCTATCCCTCCCTCTTTAGTTGTGGCAACTAGAAAATTCACTCAACCTCCCCCAGCCTGAGGAGCTCATAAGTCAGCAAGAGAATCAAGGGGAAAACGTGCTTCTGCCTTTCATGCTCATGCTTTACCTTGCTGATACTGGACAGTCTTACTGCTCATCTCACACTTAGAGAGTGCAAGAATCACATCTCCAATGGCTTCACCATTGGTCCTACTGACACAACTGAGTCTGCCACTGAATTGTTTTTATTTTCTTCAGTCCAACTATTGGAGAGGAATAGAAAGATAAGGATAACTTTGAAGTGTAAAGGCTGTGGAGGACATTGTTTCTAAACCCAGATACCCTACAAGGAAAAGTTAGAATTCCAGAGAATGAATGACACCTAATATCCAACTGTCCCATTGTAATTTACTGATCCGCCACACCTGTCTAAAGCAACCAATGGTGACAGTAAATGTTATGACAAACAACACGACCAAACAATGTTGTTGTCCCAACAACAGAATAAATTAACTGGAAGCCATGCAATGTCCCTTTAAATACCTTAAAAAGTTTCAGAGCTTCAGTCTGTAGAGCTTCCGACGGCAGAGTGGTGAGGGATGTGTGCAACCCATCTTTACTATAGCACAACATAGGATGTTTCCACAGAGGAGAATCTGAGGTAGTAGATGGGTAAAAACATGCAGTGTCAGAGACAGAAGAAAGAAAACAGTGTTCACATTGAAAAGAAACCTTGCTGAAATGGCAAAGCACCTGAGAAAGCAGTGCTGGTGCTGGGAATGAAAATTACCCTTTCTTATGCTTTGCTATCATGGAAAAGCATTTATGGTTTCTACTTACTGGGGTCTCCCTCTGCATCCAATAGTTTTCCAATGAGTTGTTCATATGACGTGCCCACTGTGGCATTACTGCTACCAGCCGCTACGGTCAGATGGTACAGCCAGGTGTTCTAGGCATAAGGATGAGAACAGTATGGGTCAATTCAGACCATGTTTTCTTATAAACAGGTTTAGTCTCTACCCCCCTTGTCTGCTGATACCAAAAAGACTCTTGGTCTCCAAAAAGACTGCCTTTTATACCTTCTCCTGTTTGGTGCGAATGAGTAAGTATGTGGGACTCTGGTCCTGCGGGTGAATCACCAACGTACAGTGAGATGAGAGAAGACCTCCACCAGTGGCTTCATAATCTTCATCAGAGTCACAGGAACGGTCTACTTCTTCCACTTTGGACTCACGCATAGGCAGGTGCCCCAGGGGACACTACAAGGAGAGGAAGTTAGATAAGTATAGCTAATCTCCCACTAGGGACAGGTAACTCTGGGAAAGAAAACCCAGGTGAAAATGTTGGCACTTCTGTAAAATGTAAGGAATAAACTATAATTCACTGTTTAACTAATGTAATTACATAATCTTGCATTTCTATAGAACCTCTTCTCTCTCATCACCTAAAGTACTTACAAACTGTGTTACTACTTTTATTATTTTTCTTGGGAGAGCACCTACAGATCAGAATGAGAACATGCAAATAAAAAGATGGTCTTTCCCATAAGGTACTGTCTTCTTCCCATTATACTTGTCAGTTGTGTTTACATCATTGGTTCTGCAAGGCAGGATGTTTTCTGATGATCAGTTGCTCAGTATTTTGAGCTACTGTTTTCTGATCCTGGTGAGACTTTCTGCTTTCTACTGGAAAATAAGTACTTTTAAAATTACATAAATAGGTAGATTCAGACAAACAGGATATCTGCTGTGCTGACCCTGGTGATCAATCCCAAGTATGAGTCACAGTATTTCTTGATATCCTAAAACTTGGGTTTTGTGATCACCAAGACAGAGTAATGGACCATTGGCCAAAGATTCCAGAACTGGAAGCACGTTACACTGATGAAATGACTTCCCTCTTCCCATATTGTTTTTGCTACAGTATGCAGGATATATCAGCTGCTGTAGAAATGTCTGCTCTAAAGGCTTCACAAGACCAACTGGAGAGGGCGAGAAACAATACAGTGATCTAAGAAAGAGCAGTCACTTGCTTTGTAAGTCTTTTGTCATTTTAGCTTTAAAAAAAGAATATTAAAAAAACCCAGATAAAATATTGATTCTCTTTGTGGATAGAAGGGGAGAAGTACAGACAAGGAAGAGCTTGAAGTATTAGAAAAGCAGCAGTAAAAGGAAAGAAAGCATCATGAGAAATGGGAAAGGAGAGTTCAGGAACAAAAGGGGAAAATGAATTACCTTATCTTCATGATTTCGATAGTAGTAGAAAGTTTTTCCAATCAGTGCACACCAGACCAGCTTAGAGTGGCCATGCTTGACCTGTAAGGAGGACAAAGAAATACATGTTTTTAACATCAGCAGTGTTGCTGGAATGATTTTCTAAAATTCCAATTTTCAATTCAACTCTCCCTTAAAACCCTGTATGTATTATTTGTTCTATGCTAATATGAGCTCCTCTCAAAACATGCAGGGCATCACTTCCAAAAGCGGGTAAGTATATCCCACGTAAGTAGATGGGAGACAGGTGCGTATGGAAACGGGTCTAAGATTTTGTGAAGTATTTTACTTATTCATAACAACCCACCACTTCTGTATCCTGAAATACAATATTAAGAACAACCTTTGTAAGATTATAAAAATGGATCATTTCACCTCAGCAGAAAAAGACCAGTCAACATGCAGTCTAGGGAGCTGTTTCCTATTGCAGATGAACAAGCTTCAGATGCAGGTTGCCTTTAGCCATCTTTAGATGCTGGCCAGAATTATATTAAAAAATTCATAGTAACTTGGCATGAAAAGCTCATCTATTGAAATTGCATAAAGCATAAGAATTTTCAGCCATTGTACTTTGCACTTTTTACTATGTACATTGTACTTATGAGCATGCACTCTGTTATGATAGAAATAAATGCCTAGAACCACACAAGCCATTTCTTTGAAACTCTCCTATAACACCAAGTTAAGACCAAGTAAATGTGTAATTTAACAGTGTTTCCTGATGGTTGGGTTTTTGTTATGACATGCTGTGAATTCTGTTAAAGAAAAGCATACATAAACTAGGTATTTGTTATTACTTACTATTTGACAAAGACAGTATCTCTCAGTAGCCTTGTTTGTCCCACTCCTTATCATTTATACAAATGTTCCTCTCTCTGAAATACAGAAATGTACTGCCACTTTTCTTTCTTTCCCCACTTTCTAGGGAGTATTAAAATACTAATTTCTTGCTGACATTTACTGCGCAAACGAAGAAGCTGGTATACTGTCAATACTGAGCTAAACTGAATAAACTAAAAAATAGTATTTTACCTTGGTGAGCCAGCCTTTCACAGTAGGTTTAGCATCACTATGAGGAACACCAACAGGACTGGTCACTTGCACCCTCAGGATACTCTGTAGGACATGAATCCATTCCTCCAGGATGTTGGGAGAGTCTGCTGTCAGGAAATAGGTTCTCTTTTCTGTTATGAGCTGGAAGAAAAAGGAGTGAGCAAGTATAAATCTGCACACTTACAAATCTTTTCTTCAGCTACTGAGTTTCATTACCCCATACAGATATTTTTTTTTGTGATTCAGGAGGGGTTTTTTGGGGGCAAGAGAAAAGGTGATAACCTTCAAAGCCCAAGTGAAAGGACTGAAACTCAGATGAATCAAATTCTTATAAGTGCTCTTGCTATTTTGCTATTTCTGTTGTACATTGTAGCTTTGTCTCCTCTCTGGTGCTTTCTTGTTTCACTGTGCTGCTGCTAATTTTTAATTTTAAATGAATTTTTTCTTCTGCCTTCACTTTATATTGCATTCTGCCTTCAATAGCTTGTGACTCTTTGAGAGGAAAGATGCTATGAATTTAATAGTATTAAGCCTTAGAAACTTCAGTTCCATAAGGGCAGAAGGTAGCTCACAGGTCAGGCCATGTGCCTTGCAGTCAGTATGAGAGAAACTTTAATACCACCTTTATATGAAGTCTTCTAACAATAATGACTTAAAACTGAACCCAGCAATGGACTAACTTCTAATACTTTGGAAGTCGAATTCTAATAGGAATCCAACACTTCAGATGTTTCTTCAGATTCTCCAAACATGTAAAGTAAGGCTGGAAATTTTAAGAGGAGTCTTTCAGAAAGAGGAGATTCTAGGTGCTATCTGGTTTCACTTTTCCCACAGATTTCAGTGAAATTCAGTGAAATTTCAAACTCTCAGTCCTAACTGCAAAAAAGGAAACTGCTACGGTGCAAAACAAAGCAAAGCAAAACAAAAGCAGAATTGATTTCATTTTCAAGAAGCTGTGTTTGGGTTACAATTTAGCTCTTTCCCCATTATTTAACTACCTGGCTTGTGCCAGGAAACACAGGGGCCAGATAAAGTAAGCTCCTATCAATTGAGACATACAGTACCATTCAGCCTGAAATAAGTGCTCTCTCACCCAGCAGCTGAGTGTGTGGTTATCTGCCGGATGAAAAAGCAACGCTTACCTGGAATGTCTGCGACCCTTCACCTCTGACAATTTGGCACGAGGAATTCAGCTCCATCTGCCCTTGTGGTTTGCGGATAACGTCGCTCTGAGGAAAGAAAAGCAAACAACTTTTTCAGCAGGAAAAAATTTCAGGTGGGTGTTGGAGTACTGAAATACAGCATAATATGCATGTGCAGGTTGGAGTCTGTATACATGAACTGGAAAGGACAGCTGAAGGTTGCCAGGTTAGGGATGAGACAGCTTTGCAATGCTGAAGCAAAAGTCTCCTCAGTAGTGGCAGACAATACAACAAGAGTAATGGCAACAAATACTGTCTTATGAAGTTCAGATTGGAGATTAGGAAAAAAATACCAACACAACAGAAAAAAACAACAAACCCTTTTTCACTGGGAAGGCAACACAACACCAAACAGGCACACAGATAGTGGCTGAATTTCCACCTTTGGAAGATTTCAAGATTCACGTAGACAAAGCCATACGCGGTTTGATCTACAGCTGGTGAGTTTCTCTTCAATGTGTTAGTTGGACTAGGGTTTTCCAGAAGTTCCTTCCAACCAACAGTAAATCCTGAATATTTATGATGTTATTTTTTTATATATATGTATGTATATGGTATCTATATGTAACTTACTTGTGAATTCTGATTGACAAACCTAGTATCAGAAATAAAGATGCATTGTGGCCTAAGATGTATTGTTGTCAGAATATGACAACAACTGAAAAAAGTTGAAAATAAATCTTCTAAATATTCCTGAATTGTAAACAAAGATGTGTATACACACAGAAATTATGCAGGTATGAAGAGAACTGCTGTGTCCAGAAGAAAAAAGTACAGAAGGTGAATATCCCTAAATATAACTCTCTCTAATGTACAGCAGAATAATGAAGGCTAACAAAAAATATATTTTATTGTATATACAAATTTTGAGTGCATACTGCTAGAATTTTTGAAATAACGTAGCTTCATTTGTAATAGTTGTGAGTTATAAAAAGCGTTTTGAAAGGTTTGAATGCACAAACACGCACTCTCAATATTGTTTCTTTGATCACTGTAAGACAGCATTTTGCATGAAAGCTTATTTTCAACTTTACCCTGGTTTTCTAATACTTTCATGTCCATGTGGGAGGGCAAAAGATGAAAGAATCCAGCTTTCTTCCCCCTCAAAGTTGTAGTTTTCCTTAGAGCCCCATATACTGACTGACGAGTACGTATCTGTGCCCTCCTGGTACTGTAATTTATTTTTCCTTTATTTTCATCTTAAACATGACCAAAGCTGGGCCATGGCATGCCTTCTGCTTTTCATCATCTGTACGAAGTTAAGCAGTAAGTGTCAAGCTTCTGTCCTTGTGAGCAACCTTTCATCTCTGGAAACTGCCACCAGCAGCTTCCCTGCCTAAGCAGAGACCCACAGTTGAAACTGCGGGTCAGAAAAAGTTCTTTGGCAGGACATTTTGGGGGAAGCTTGCCCATGGCTGCCCACTCTGCCAGCGGTATGAGCCTGGAACCAGTTCTGCAGACAGCATTCCCCTGCACCTCCATACAGGAGGAAATGTATCCCAGTGACTCACCGGAGACTTGTAGTACATGATTTGCCTGTTTCTCAGAACAAACCATCGTCTCTTCCACATCTTCACCTGGCTGCCCATTTTCAGCAAGTAACCCGACTTCTCCATGGGCTCCTGGAGGGCAAAAAGCAAGAAGGAGATGAGATTATCTTGCACCTCTCAAGATACAAATGAAAGAATGGTGAAGTCAAGCTCAGACATTTGCTGCACCTCCATCATTTTCCACTTTACTCTGCCAGATGGGAGCAGCAGCCATCCAAGGCCAGTGCTCTCTGCTCAACTTGGAGACAGTACTAGACATTCTGTGTAGCTGCAAATACCACATTGTGTTGCTTTAAAAGAAGGCACCTGAAGATCATTTCACTGACTGTTTGATGCACTGAAAACTTACTGGGTTTCCTACCATAGCAGTAATTTTCCAAATAAAAGTGAAGGCTGACTCCAAATCATGATTAGACTTCTGTTCCTTGTCTGCTTGATCTCTTACATTCAAAAATACAGACTTTTATGCTGCCCATGTTTGAGGTTTTTTTCCAGGCCAAAATGATCTATCCTTTCTCCTTGCTTCCTTTGAATTTCCAAACTTGCTTTGTCACAAAAGTGTAAGGCCATCATTAAAGTAGAACCCAACTAACAGAACACCAGCTTCTGATGAACAGGTCATCAGGAAAGAATACAGCCCTTGATGCTTATACTTTTATCTAATCATGTAACAGAAATTGCCCCTTCTCTGAAGCACCACAGACTGTCTTTTGACACAAACCAGCTGGATCAACAGCACAGTCTGTTAGAGCATCACTTTGCAGATGATAACTCAATATATTGTAGTTACACTTTTTCTCTTTCAAGGCCAAGGCACCCCTTCACAACTGTGAGTAGCAAGACTTACAGTGCAAATTCCACCATCAGTAGAATAGGAAGATGTTCGCTGTAGCTTATGTTCTGGCTCTGAATAGTCACCATCCAAGGAGTAGGCATCAGGAGGGATGGCATAGTCACTCTCGGAACTCAGTGAGGACATAGACACACCTGTTCAAAATAAAGGAAGGAACAAGAATCATAGCTAGACAGAAGCATGCACTGAATACTGCACACTCTGAAGAGTTTTTGAATTCACCATTAAGGATTTTTTGTTCAAGAAGAACAAATCAGATCAGAATTTGGAAACTCAAACCCCAGTAACTAAACTTCTGAGACCTTTTTTGTTTCCTAGGAAGACAAGCAGTGAGAGTGAGTTTTGGATACTGACAATGAAATAAATTTGCTGCTGAATAAACAGACATAAAAACCACATAAAAAACCCAAAACCAAGATACTTGTTATTTAAAGCACAGACATGCTGTTTCCAGCTTGAAAACATCCAGCATAAAGCCTCAAGCCCCTCTCATTCAAAATAAAGAAAAGGCTTCCTCACCAGCAATAAGCCTTTGCTTTTCTGTGAATCTGCCACCACTGGTCCACAGCAACACAGACACATCAGCCAATGCATCACAAAATCTGCCACCACTGGTCCACGGCAACACAGACACATCAGCCAATGCATCACAACAGGACTTAAGACTATAGGAAATGGGATTTTATTTTATTGACTACCAATTGTAATAAAAATTCTACTCAAGGATCCAGTTTAACCTTGCCAGTGGTCAAGAAAAATTATCGTAGCCAGGACCCAAATTACCTGATGCCTCGCAAAGCCAGCAAAGATCTGCTTACTGGTCAAGAAGCCAGTGACAGAGACAAAAGCCATTTTCTTTAATGTGTCAATACTAGCTTGCTCACAAGTCACAGAAAAGGTATGGATGTCTTCACTGTATATCTGATGAGCTTGGTAGATCAACCCTTCCCACAATCTTAGTTTAGCAATTGCCTGGATGGAAATCTAGAGGATAGGTTTCTACTGAGTAGCTATTGATATCTGCACATGTTCTGGGAGAAGTCCTTATTACCGTCACCGAGGCTGAGCATTTGGATGTTCAGGATATCTTGCCTCACCCATGAGGATGGAGTTCATGCTGCTCAGTTGCAATACTCCCACTTTACCTCTCTTCACTGCACGAGGGCTGCCTGGCATGCTGGCTTTCCTGTTCTCGGATCCAGCAGTAGAATTCCTGAAGCTGGCATGGGAGCCACAGTCATCATCAGAGCCTGAAGACTCATCTAAGAAAGGCACGTTGCTGATCTGTGTGGCTTTCTGGAAAACAGACTTGTATGGTCAGCATGTGAGGGAAGAGTTTCCCAGAACAATTCCTGTTCAATAAGGAGACAGAGCAATCGATGCAGGCCCTTCATTTTCACACTGCCTTGCCCACTACTGGGCTCCTCTTTTCCTCCCTTTCTAGCCCAAAAACTTCCAATCTGGCCTCTCTAGTCTGATCTAATTTGGTGTCCTCCAGTTACACCCTTCTACTGTTCCACTATCCCCGTGCTTCCCCATAACCTCTCAAGAGCCCTCTTTCTTGCTGCAGTGTTTTATATTCCTAAATACATTTATCATCTCCTACTCCTTCTGCATTCTTTTGGTGTTCAGTACTTCCTAGCATTTTCTAATTTCCTTTCCTTCCCTGCACAGCTTCATCCCGTTCGCTCTCAAATTACTGGCAGCCCTGGACCATGCTTTTCATAAGAGGAAAAGTGAGGTAACTCCTTACCCCCTTCAGCGTAGTGTAGACTGGCACTGTGACATTTCTGTAGATGAGACAGGTAAACGGCCCAGAAGTTGCACGCGACAAATTGTAAACTGCGAAAATGCAGAGAGAAAGCAAATAATACAAACTGTTGAAAAAAAGGAGGCTTTAATGGAGACATACACGTATGCATGTAAGAATTTATGTAGTCTCTTGGAACATCAAATAATGGAGGATTGCCATCCTGGACAATTTGGCCTCAGCAAGGCCAGAGGATGTGTAATTAATTACATACGACTCCCAGAGACAGCTGCAATGGTATCTCAATTTTAGCCTGTGAGACATCTTACCCACCCTGTGCTCCCCATGGTACAATGGCAATGCAGTGCACCACGTCCAAATAGGTAAAAGCCATAACAGGGCAAGGTGACAGTGAATCAAAAGACTAAAAGCACGTCACAGCCATGCAAAGGCAGAACAGTGTCAGCAAAAGTGATGAAGGAGATAATGGAGTCCCTGAAGATGTCACTGAATGTAGGGGCTCAAACAGCCCAGCACCAACCATCCCCGAGATCAGACGTATCCTCCTCCCTTCCTTCCTTTATCGTGGCTATCTGTGAAATCAAATTTACTTTGAAAACAGGCAAGGAAATGAAGAAATGAAGAAAGAAATGTGAACAGCCATTAGCTCAGGTCCCACATTGTCACTGTAAGCTCCCTCTAAGGATGAATCTTGTCTAGAACTTACAGCAGCTGGAAGTATCATTCACTGTGGCCACTTCAGAAAACCTCATGCCAGACTTAGCCACAGCATAGATTCGACTCTCCTGGAACAATAATACCATGAACAGCAATGGTCAGACAAAAATATGATTCCTGCAAAAACAAATGCTTGTGTAACAGAATCACATCACAATCACACCTTGGGCAGGAAGGAGGAGCCTCCTAAGAAAGGTTGCTCTAGTCTACCAGATGTTGAGTGAATGACCATTTGTGGAAATGTGCATCTGAGTGCAATTCCCTGAATCCTAACAAACTTGGCTTATAAATGCTACAGAGCTGATATCCACAGAGTGAAACACCTACATGCAATTATCAATAAATGACTATATCACAGCTTCGGAAAAGCTTTTTTTTTCCACTTTATGAACAATACATTAAAAAGAATCAAGAACAGGATCTAAAACTGGACAATTTATTGAGTCACCACCTGCAAAGGATTCCCTTTCCCTGATAAGGGAATGAAAGAAATGCCTGGAATGTTCTCAATAAGCCTGTGTCTCATTTATAACAACATATGGATCTTTCAGTTCAAAGGATCTCCACGTGTTTTACAAATTGATAAAAATTCCAAGGGGGGAACCCAAATCTGTAACTAAATGCAATGTTATGTCTAAGACATCAACCAGTCTAAAATGAATAAAAATCAAAGCTAGAAATTCTCTTGCTGCTCCTTAAAGAATACAACCAATCACAATCAGATAACACGCACAATACATATACATGAAAGTACTTAAGACTGCAAAGTCAAGTACATCAAAAAAAGAAATGACAGAATTAGTACTTTCTGTATGTATATGCATTGTGAATTAGCCCCTAATGAAATATTACATGTATTTTTTTCCTCACACACTTTCTATTTGGGGCGTATAATGATTAAGGTGCTATTTAATATTCTATTCATGCATTAGTGTTTGATACACCTAGATTTGCTCTACTTGCATACCTTTACTTGACTCTGGTCTGAAGACAAAACAATGGATTTTTCCTGTGGTATTCCTGACTGTAATACTGCAATGCTTCATAAACATTAATAAAAATATTTATGAAAACCCTGGGAGAGACATTGATGGGTGCTATTACTATTTTCCAGAAGACAAACTCAGACATAGGTGATACTATGAATTATGCAGTAGCTTTGGAGCATCCATTTCAAGGTGTCCCAAACCTGACTTTTTGAGAATTTAGCATCATGTTACATTGTTTGTAATGAAAATAACCAAATACAGTTGCAGCAGAGAAGTGCTCAGTGCTTCTCCAATCAAATTAACTTGCCAAACTCAAGTTACACATTTAGAAGGTGGGTGTGGAGCTGATGATCATCTGTGAAAAATTTAGCCTGAGGGACCAGAAGAACCTTCCATGGGAACTCTAGATCAGAGAAAGGAATAGTAGCCAATCTCTGAGCCATATTTTCCTTTGCCCAAGGGAATACACTGTTCATGACACCTTTCTGACTTCTGCAGCAAATAAAACAAACACCTTGAAAACTGCAGTTTCTTTTACTACACTATCCAGCTTTATTCCCGGGACAGGTCCATACTATGGACTGAATTAAAAGAGATTCCTTTGGAAAAATAGCTGTGATTATACCGGGTTTTAAATTGGTATCATAAAGGACACAGTCAAAAATAAAATAATGTTAGATTTCCTTGGATAAAAAATTCTATAACATGAGGATTAATAATGAGTGCTTGATTTCACACCTTCAATAAACCACTTGTTTGCCTAGGCCTTCAAAAAAGCAAATTGAAATAATGGAATTATCTTTTTTGTTACTACGTTGATTTCCACCAAGTTTATCAATTAGATTGACACATTGGTAAACAATCCAATTACCTGAACTAACAAGTCACTGAAAGTAATAATAACAGACTTCTCTCTCATGTCCAGTAAGCAATTTGACACATTAGTAAACAATCCAATTATCTGAACTAACAAGTCACTGAAAGTAATAATAACAGACTTCTCTCTCATGTCCAGTAAGCAATTGGACATGTATATTCCCTTTACCAAACGTTTTCACAAAATTTTCCTGATAGCAGAAGTATACCATGAGATAAGAATGCTGAGATCTAATCCTGTACCTATTCTAGTATTCACAGCTTTTTTGACCTTGAAACTATCTGATCTGGTCCATTCACTTGCACTCACTTTTCTGTCTTAAACACATGACAACAGAACTAAGGATTAACTGTTGATGACTCATAAGGATAAATCACAATGCAGCACCTCTTGACTTCCATTTTTATTCCTATGTTTCTTGAGTACTACTTTCTTCCATGGATTTTTTTCCCCTTATAAAGAGAAAAGAACAAAAAAATTGTCAGTGGAAACAATATGCCCCATGATCTGAAATTGTCAGACTAGGTGGTTCACAGAAATGTGACTGATGTCCACAGGAAACAATTGTGTGAGAGCAATAGCTGCTGTAGCCTAACTATTGGGCACTACTCAAAGATACACAGCACTTCTCAGACTGTTGTCCTTGCATTTCTTACCCATGATGGTAATCTGTGCAGCGGTGGTGTGGGAGGTTTACCTCCTGGGTCGAGTACGCCAGCCTCAGAACTCACAGCTTCTCTTGTGATCTGAAACTGTCAGACTAGGTGGTTCAGAAATGTGACTGATGTCCACAGGAAACAATTGTGTGAGAGCAAGAGCATGATCTGAAATTGTCAGACTAGGTGGTTCACAGAAATGTGACTGATGTCCACAGGAAACAATTGTGTGAGAGCAATAGCTGCTGTAGCCTAACTATTGGGCACTACTCAAAGATACACAGCACTTCTCAGACTGTTGTCCTTGCATTTCTTACCCATGATGGTAATCTGTGCAGCGGTGGTGTGGGAGGTTTACCTCCTGGGTTGAGTACGCCAGCCTCAGAACTCACAGCTTCTCTTTGCACTGTAGATAAGCAGTTGATTTCCTCACACGCTCCAGCTTCTTCCCTCACCAGGTCACGTTCCGTCTCCATCTTCTCCAGTACCCCATCATCATCAATGTCTGTCTCCTTCACTTGCCCAGGGCAGACTAGAGAGTCTGTTATGGGCTGGAAGGTGCTAGCCTCTAAGCTCGTTATGCGATGGAAAGAATTAGCCCCTGGCTGTGGTTGGCTGTAATGTCTCTTGGCTAGTTGGATACTGTCTCTTGGTGTATTGGGAGTTCGTATTTTCGGAAAGGTCATACTACTGCCAAGGCCGCATTCCCTCCCTGGACAGAAGGAACGTGCTGTAACAGCTGATGTTGACACAACGATGGACGGCTCAGCAGTTTGGAGACAGCCCTCCAGCATGCTCATTATTTCTCCTGAGGAAGAGGAGTCCAGCCGGTGGGAGCGGAACCTGGCACTCAGATCATCAGAGAAGCATGTGCCATCCAAAGCCACTTGTTGCAAGGTGCTCACAGCTCTATGGTTTCCTTCCAAAGATGACTGGAAAGTCAAAGCATCAAGGATTCTTGTGGCCTCAGCTGGTGGGTCCAGTGATGTGGGATCAGAGCACCCTAACCTATGTTCAGAACTTATGGCTGGGAATACGTCTTTCTCTGTGGAGAGATTCCAGTTTGATGGATCAGACATGAGCTTCAGCGTACTCTGGGAAAACAGAGATTTATCCTCCCCATCCTTGGCAAAGGTGTCATTGGCAAGAACTATGTTTGCTGTAGAAAGGACACGTTTGGTAGGTCCTGTCTGACACACCTGTCTGAAACCAGGTGCAAGGAGCACAGATTTCTGGTCTATCTTCTCAGCAAAAGAGGCCTGTGATGCTCTGGGCTTCAGAGAATGATGGCTCCAAAGGGATTCCAAGGGAGGAATGCTGGTCATATCTACAGAGGAGGAGAACATACGGTTAGGCCATTCAAATGCTTTATTGTCTAAAATGTTACTTGCTAGTGTAAACTGTTCATGTCAGTTGTATTTCAACAGTGCCCTGGCCTGGTTAGGACTATACAGAATGGAAAGGAGATGGCTGAGCGCAGGTGTAACAGAAGTGCTGTATATTTATAATCAGGAAAAGTACAGAAAAGATGAGTAGCGAATGATTAATCGCTGTTTCTTACAAAAGTGGAATTAAGGAGTGCCTAATGAAATTACAGGGCAGCGTGTTTGAAATTTACAGAAGGAAGGGGTACTTTTCAAATAAAAAAGAAAATAGAATACTGTGACATCCAAAAGACAGGCCAGAAAAAGTAATGTATCAGTGGTACAAATAACCATTTAGACAGAAGTTCTGCCCTAGGAACTTCCTAAAACACTGACAGCAGAAGGTGTAAGGGTACATGGAGACAAGGACAACTCTACTCGCAATATTTTCTACACCATTTCCTGAAATATCCACAGCCAACCAAGAGACAGGATACTGGCCTAGGAAAACTTTCAGCCTAACTCAATATACTCTAACCTATCCACAATTATGTCTCTTCTCTTAAAATAGCCATGAGAAGGAAGTGCACATATCCACACAATATTCAAAACACCTAAATGGCCAAAACACTGCTTAGTGTGCTTTTGACTTCAATGGACCTACAGTTATATAAGCCATCAATTAAGCTGTTATGGTTCCTCACACTCCTAGTACCTAGATGAGGCTATCAGCATATTTATAGAGACCTTCTTAACTATCACATGATCAGTGAGGTTATTCTCTTTTCAAGAATTTCCCTAGAGCTTTTTGCTATCCTTTTGTGCTATATGAATCAAGCAGTGCTTTTTGTCAAGTTTTATAACAGTTACTTACATGGCTTTAGTGTAAAAACTTGCTTTTATTTTTTTTTCTCTACCCCTTCAAATATTTTATATTAGAAGATGACACAAAAGAATCCAGATTACCTCTATTGTTCTTTGTCCATTTAGAACCTATGCTTTATAATTCTTCTACTTTCTTTTTTTCCATAATTACTAGATTTAAAGACTAATCTCAGTTCTGCTGGTTCTCCTGAATAGCAGCTTTAGGATATGGGAAATCATGGATAAAACTTGGAGTGGCAGAGGATGTTACTTTACTTTATGATTTTGATTGACCTTGGCATTTATATATTGCCTGACTGAAAAGAACCAAGTCATAAGATGCTTTGGAAATTACATAAATATGGGTTAGTGTGAGTCTGCACAGCTATTGCTGAAAATGCTGTCTGAACATCAAACTCTACAGGCATTGCTTAACCACTAGTGGGACTTACAAGGAAGTAGAGACAAACTGAAGACACAAAGTAATGGAGGGAATGGCAAACAGCAGGATAAACCACTGTTGATTGTGAAGAGGATGAAACCTGCTCTTGGAAACAGCTGAGAAAAGACAACCATGAGAACCTGACCTTGGCACTTGAATCACAAGGAACTAAATGCTAACAAAGCTATTCCTATCATAACTCTGGCACACACAGCTCCTGGCACACATTGTCCCCTGCCCCTGAGGTAAATCATTAGTATAGACTGAAAAGAGGCCATTCATTTTAAATATTATTGGTATTTTTACAGCTTCCTAGATGTGACAGGTGATGAAGGAGAGGAAGCTGTTACTATTAGCATGGCAAGCAAGAAGATACTTGTCCCTCTGCAGAGGCCTCTGAATTCAGCCTGGCACAGTGAGACTAGAGTAGGGGATAAGAGGAGAGGGCAGAGCTGTTTACTGCCCAGAGAGTTGGGATCCAGGGAACACTTAATACCAGATTATTAACGCAGCTTACCAGCCATTCTCTTTTTGTAAACAGCCAGAGCCAGGGGGGAATGAGAAAAACCCAGTCATAAAGCATTTAGCTAGAAACATGGTGGGATTTAGAAGGAATTTTGCCCTATTCCCTTGCTGTGGAGTGATAGGAATGCCAGAAAGTCTTCTGCAGAAAAGAAATGCCCCCTGCTTGCATGCCCAGTGAAGTTCTGGAAACAGCTCATCTTACTATGACCAAACCATGTTCTTAAAAAAAACAAAACCAAAAACACACAGGAAGAAAATGTTTAAGAGAGAATTTCCTCTCGTTCTTAAAAAAAACCAAAAACACATGGGAAGAAAATGTTTAAGAGAGAATTTCCTCTTCAAAATGTGTTGTGATGAACAGTGCCGATTTCTTTGGCTCTGGAGGCCAAAGTTCTCCATCTGTCCATCAAACAAGAACTGCACAGGCTCTTCAAAATGTGTTGTGATGAACAGTGCCGATTTCAGGCTCTGGAGGCCAAAGTTCTCCATCTGTCCACCAAACAAGAACCTCAAAGGCAGCTTTCTCCAACCCAACCTGATAGCACAGAGGAACCCAGGTTCTAAAAGCACATCAGAGGACTTCTGCCTTGGCCCATTCAGTCCTCAGTTACTCAGTTCACATGCCAGCAGGGTTTCTGTGGGGATGAGGATTATTCACATGTGGATGTAAAGTGAAATACCTCAGGGACTTCTACCCTGCACCACTGAAGTGAATGTAGAGTTTTTCTATGTATTTCAATGAGTGCTTCTAATTCAGGAACTCAGTGGTTTATTTTAATGGCAAAAGCAGACTCTGAAGAAAAAAGAAAGGGTGTCTGTGTTCAGTCGCTGATGGGAAACCAAATAAGAGTTTAAGGCAGGTAAGCAATGTTATTTCTATCTTAAAAATGAACTCTATTTTGAAGTTTGAAATGAAGAATTTATTTGAAAAAATGAATTCTATTGCTTGCTCACTGTCACAAGTGCTTATTTCTGACAAGAATACAACCCAGGAATGCTGACTTCCACTCTTGTGGTGGTTACTAGGCTACAATGCCAGGTGAACACATTTACCTTGCAACGTGTCCTGAAGGGCTTCAATTTGCTCCGTCAGCCTCCGATTACAGTTTTTCAGGTGGTAATTTTCTAGTTCAAGCTATGAAAACAACAATAATAAAAACCAAAAAATAATGCAAAACTGTGTGTATGTTCCACTACACAGAACATATCTTCATCTTTATTACATTCAAGAGTTTGAACAAGAAAAGGAAAAAAGGATGGGCAAGTCACCTTGAAATCCTCCTCCTCAGCAGCTCCACTGGACAACCCACTTAAACACATCACTGTGTTCTCTCAAATAGCCTCTGTATATACTATTCACATTCCTAAAATAGGTCTTTTTATTTCCTTCCCTGCTATTGTTTATCATTTACTCCTGTTCCAGAAATAACTGTCATGAAAGAGACAATAAAAAAAACCTATTACGCAGGAGGAGCATTTTTCCCCTCTCACCCTGTATGTGGTAAAAGGAGATCCCCTGGATCCAGGTGACCAAAACATTAAGGTTGCATTTACATTTGCAATTTGTGCACAAGTGGTTCTTTGCAAATCTACCATATGTACCATGTGTCTTTGCTTGAAGTGTCTCAGCATACATTATTAAGGGTAGCAGTGGTACACCCAAAGTGGCTTCCCTTTTGATGGAATCAAAGCTGAAATTGCATTCGTGGTGCTGTCTGGAGACACCCATTTGTAACACAGATGCAAAGTCCTTCAGTTAGCAGTGGTCCACTTGTGCATGGTATGCACCTAGAAACAGCATCTGGCACGAACTTCATTGCCAGTAAAGACACAACTTGAATGCATGGTCCTGGATTCACAGCAGGTCACACCAAGTCAATCTCTGTGCTTCCTCCTTTGTGCTGCCCCCGTTAGTGATGTAGATGCACCTTAAGTTATTTCACATAGGAAAATGAAAGAGAAGCAGCACAGCAGCTCAGTGAATTGTCTAGACAATCTAATGAGATTACAAAGTCACATGATAACGCAACTACTGCCCACAAAGCCTGCTTCTTCCAACTCCAACAAACTTCCTTTCTGGCATAAACTGGGAAACCTATAGCTTTAACCTGGAATAAAAAGGAAAGACTAGACAGCCCCACTCCCAGCTGTAAACTATTAATGCATTTTTAAAACTGCATGCTGTCTCAGTTTTTCTAGAGTGTATTGAATTAGACCCAAATAGAGGAATATGCCCACAGGATGGATAGGAAGGAGAGGTTAGACATGAGAAAATGCTGGGTAGTAGGAAAACAGCATTAGTCAGAGACATGTTATTGTGCCACAGCTGCTTTGTCAGAAAAAAAGAGACAAACCATAGCCAGAGAAAAAAGGGAGAGGCAGAGAAAAGGTAGGTGAAAGCCACTTGTGACTAGTAAGTCTTCTTCAGAGACTGCTTTTGAGCATTAGTGATTTCACAGTCATTTATCCTTTGCCCAAAGCAGTAAATAGCCCTCAATAAGAGGGATGTCCCTGGCTCTGCAACTGTGTGTGCAGGGCCAAACAAGGAGAAAGCCCCTGTGGCAGACTGACTGTCCTCAGGCTATTTATTGCCCTACGCAGGAGCCCATTGGCAGTGCAGCTGTTGTACCTAGTCCTAGGCCTTGAAACCTGGCAGCAAGCTAAAGACTCACCTCTCTCAGCTTAAATGTTACCCACTCTTTGATCTTGGCAGCTTTCTCTTGAACAATTTTAGCTTCCTCAGTCCTCAACTGTTTCTGTGCCAAAAAAAAAAAAAAAAGAAGAAGATTAGATGCATAAGTAGAGCACAACTGACTGTTCTCAGTAAGTTACTGCATCAGGAGCGACTTAAACACTGAAACTTCCATTCCAGACATAAGATTTAAGATTGCTATTTGGATATTATTGTTTAGCTGGCCTCTGAAAACTCAAGCTCTAAGTTGTCTTACATGGTCCCTGGAGTCAAATTCAGAGGGTTGTTTCAAGAGGTTGTCCAATAGCAAAGTCCAGCTCAGGTAAAGATTGCCCACCGACCACAGTTGCTTTTGTGTCTGCAACTTTTCCTGTTTCAGATGGTTTTGCAATGTTGAGTTTGCTGTTGAGCATCTCTAGTGTTCCCCCAGTGCCCCCCCACCATATAGTTGGCTGAAGTTAATATGAATTAAGCAGTGCCTGTAAGTGATGTATAAAGCAGTGTAATTCTTCTAGCAAAAAGGATTCAACTGCTGCAAGCACAGGTGTATAGACTTTAAAGATGCATGAAATGGAAACTAATATCAACAATGTAATTAACACACATAATATTCTCATTGAGAAAGTAAATAAATCAAAACAAACAAAAAAAAAAGACAGCAAACTCCAGGATAAAAAAAAACTCCAAAACTTGACCTTGAAATGCTAAGACCTGCTAGGAGGTTTTCAGATGGTGTAAGTGGTTGTATGTTTACATATCCATTAAAACAGGTTCCAGTCCACACAAAGGTGTTATGGGAATACTGTTGATTTGCACAATGAACATTTTTCCCCAAGTATCTGCTTAGGCAATATTGCTACAACATCATTTTTGCAGCTGTGTTTTCTCAGCTGCAGTTTTTTCCTTTTCTGGGAATTTCCTTTGAAAGATGCTAGATTGACGCTACGATCACCTGAAGCCTTGTGTTCATCTCCTGCATGGCTCGCCCAGAAGAAATGATGTCACTGAAAGGTTTCCTATCCACAAAATGATCAAAACAACTACAAGGAGAAGTCATCTGCAGGAACAAGGGATGGAGGGAAGGGGAATATACTGTCTATGGCACATTCAGCCCCGGTGTCTCTAATTAAATGGACAAAGGTAATACCTTCTGGTAGCACTTAATGGTTTCCCTGCTAGATATTTTTTCCTGATGTGAACAAATACCCTCCCCTTTTAAATTTTTTACACTGAAGAGTATAAGTTCACTTAATGAATACCATACAAATACACAATAGTCTGCAGGAAATTCCCCACATCTTCACATTGCTTTTCATCACCACATGCTATTCATCACTACAGTTCCACATTTAAAAGCTCTTATTCAAATGTCTGCTGACTTTAAAATAGACCTTGACAACATTATGGGTAGCAGTAACATTTGTAGGTAAGCATAATGAAATAAAGTGATCAAATCTGATGCTTCAATAGGAGGATTTATTTAGTTTTTCTCACTGAATATGGCTGTGCATGTTCCTAATTATCAGGTATTGGCCTGTGCTGCAGTCAGAATATTAGACATGCCTACTGGTCTGAAATGATCTGGCACATCGAGTGAATCTACCATAGTCCTCTGAATATCCATCACGCGGGTAATGCCTCTGAATCCCCAATGACCTGGACTTGTCTCAGATCAGGGACCAAGAGGTAAAAGATTCAGAACATTTCTATGCTACATTGTAAAGTGTAATGCCAAGATTTCATTTAGCATCATAAACTAGAATAGTGACATGTCAACAGCATTGTCACAGAGCTTAGAAAGCCCTGCCTCTAAGCAAAACCAACTCACTCAGGCACAGCACCCATAGATGCTGTTATTGTGCTTTAAGATCCAGAAGCAGTTAGAGACTCTTTGTCCCATGCTATTGTGTGGTCCAGACATGACCTCAGTCTTCTCTTATTAGCACTTTGAATGCCACAGCTCTCCCCATTCCAGTGAAAAGAAATGGGATGCCTTACAGGAACTCTTAGCAGCCTTCCAGCGCTGCCACTGTCCCATACCACTCTGAAACTGAACTGATGACCCTGATAAAGTGTTTCTTGTTTGAAATTCTCAAGCTTCAGCCTTCATTTCTAGAAGCTCATTTTGCCCCTTGTTGCTCGAATAAGAAGATTTCTACTAACAGAATATTCTCCTCACTTATGTCTGTTGGTTTTAAACAAATCACACCTTGCGTTTCTGGGTAAATCAGAATTTCTTCTATCTTTCATAGCAAGAGCTGCTTCTAGACCTTGATCGCTATTGTCGCTCCTTCTGAAAACCTTCTTTCTCCTCCAAAATGCAGAACTTTATCTACGTTCTGCCTGAGCAAGCTGGCCCGGGGAAGTGACATGAAACCCAAAATGCCTGACATCCACACTACACTTGGTCTGATGGGGAAGTGACATGAAACCCAAAATATTACAAAGACCCGATGCCTGACATCCACACTACACTTGGTCTGAGTAAGTTCAGACAGCTTATAATTCTATTTTGCCCTTGAAATAGGTGACGATTAGTTAAATATAAAAAATACTTTGTCATTCGAGTCACATTTTATGTACAATTCTAATGAGCTATTTCTATTTTTAAAGCATTTACTTAGCAACATATAAGAATACCTCATTGCTTGTGCTACAAAGACCACAACACAAGGCCTTTACTAGAGCCAAAACAGAAGCCCTGCTGTAGATGTAGCTCCTTCCTTCCACCATCTGTGAATGGAAGAGACCAAGAACTATCCATACTGGGAAACAGCTGCTCTATTTATGAGGGCATCTGACATGAGATGAACTATGCTAAAAGGTTGCTAAAGACTGGGCAAAGTCCCCTCCCAAGAAGCAGCATATGCCAAATAAGAGATGGGCTACATCATGATTTTGGAGAGAATTTCTATGCCAGGAACCCAGAGAAATATTATGACAGCTCTAGCATTACAATTTAGGGTCTCAACACTGACTCAGCACTAACATAAGGAAGTCCTTTAGGGACCTGTCCTTTAAGGACATAAGGAAGTCCTTTCTATGACATTGACCAGTCTCCTATAATGAAGAGACAAGGGCTACTGCGGCTAAATGCATGCTTTTGTCTGAAAAGAGAAAGGATGGAGGATCTTGCACTGAGCAGGGCATCATTTTACATTGAGAGGCTAATATATAAAGGAGACAAAGTCCATACCTTCAAAACATACATTACAGAGTGCCCCCAACTCATGAAAGCTTCAGGTCTCCCTGTAGAAAATATCTTTACCTGTTTTGCTAGCTGTGTCTCCAATCTGTTGATCAGATCTTCTTTTCCTTGCACTGTGCCCATCAACTCTTGGTATTTCCTGTGCAGAGTGCTGTCTGATTCACTGGTCTTCACGCTGGCTAGTTTTATCTTCTCTTCCATAACTCTGACCTGTAAGAAGAATCAGAAGAAGATAATAAAACCCAAAACCATGTATATGAAGGAGTTTCTCATTTAGTGGTAGACCCTAACTAAGAGTATTTGTGGGTTTCATATTTTTGGCATTGGGAAAGGAAGAAAAAAATCCCAACCTTCAAGTCATACTTGGTTTATATCCACATATGTAAAAACAAGTGTCCATTCATTTGTAATGCTGAAGCAGTAACACATGCAAATTGCACCATGAACAGATAAACACATTTTGAATTGTGAAATATTTGCACACTATTCACAAAGAGACCATACAGGAACTAGAGTCTACATAGACACATGGGTAAGGTACAGCCCATTTTCCTCCTTTGCAATACCTTGGTCAGTTTTTTACCCCATTTGCTATCAAGGCATACACCACAAAACTCCGGCCGTTTGCTTCAGGTCAAGGGAAATGTACTACCTGTTCCTTCCTTCTCCTATCCCCTTAGCTTAGACAATGTTCTGGCAACTTCTGGCTGTCTGACAGGTTTTCTCCAGACCAGCTAAGGAGTTACCATGCTAGATATTTCAGAAACTTTGCCTATCTTTGAGCTCCTGCCTGTGCCAACATCTGTTCATCTCAGCAGGAGAAGCACCAATGTAATGCTCCCTCACTACAGACAAAGGTTCAATGAAGCAAAATCTAGCTGCTGCTGAAGCCTTTCAGGTTTTTCAGATATTTTTAAAACCTGTTTGCTTTCTTCAAGGCCTATGTCTGTCAATATACCAGTCTGTTTTATTATTATCTCATCCTATTGCAATGGATTATAAGATTTCTTTTCTAAAAGCGAACGGAATTCCGCTGACTTAACTCAAACCTGCTAATTGCAGCATTTGATGATGGGAAAATATCTGGTTCCAACACATCCCAGAGACACTAAATCTGCAAAGAAACCAGCTCCAGATACCATTAATTTTGCATTAATTTGGAACCTGGAAGGCAGAATGCAGGCAATGATCAGAGCACTTCACAGAGCCTGTGCAAGAGAGTTACTCATGCTCTGGTGAGCAGCCTACACTTCATACTTGCAGAAGCTGTGTTTTGTCCTCCTGTCTGCCTGCATTAGGCTGAGAAGCAAACTGCCTCTTCCTCATACTGAATCAGAAAGGTAGGCGCCCAGCATCTGAGCCAGAAAACTAAGCCTGCTGAGTCGGATGTGTTTTCATTAGAGTTTAGGGTGATTATAGTAAAACGAAATGGCCCCTCCTTTCTGTCTGATGCCTAAATGCTGACTCTGTACTAGAGGCTCAGAGAGGGGACTGCAAACATGTGATTTCCTTAATTGAGGTTGGCAGCTACAGGGAGCCCATTGAATTAACAAATACAACCCCCCAGACTCCTGGAGAGAAAGATAACAAGGGATTTTACACTTGATGTGCAACCCTCTCATTTGTCAGCTGCTTCTCATTCATGGCGAATATACTTGTTAGCTGAAGGGAAGGGTCCTACTCCTTATGCCGTCACTTCTTTAGGCTGTGAGGCAGTAATAAGTATTTCTTCAGGAACACTTATCTCTGGATGTGGATAGGGCTGCTGGAAAGGCAAACTGTACAATTTTGAGGGTGGCTAGTGTTTAGGATGGCTGCAGAACTGCTGGTGGCAGGTGAGTGAAGGCAACCCTCATTTCTCCTATACCTTCCCAGCCAAGTTCTGGATTTCTTGCCCATTCTCTGACCTGGATTTGACTTGGTCTCCATCTGCTCCCTTACTGTCATAGCATCTTACCATATTCATGGACACTCTATTACTATGATTGAGGTATCTGCTAGTATGACACCCCTTTCATTGGCCTGTGGCAGTAACTATATTTCCTGCTGTCACAGGTGGCCTTTGCCTGTCTTGGTTGGGTGTGGACTCATTTACACCACTCTCAAGAACAACTCTTGTTCTTGGTTGGCTATCGCTGATTTAGCACAGAGACTAACAGCATGATGACCAGACATAGCATCTTTCCTAAATTTAAGCTGGTCAGAAAAAAATCTTGACTTCAGTATCAAACTGGCATGGAACAGTACATTCTGCAGACAGAATATCTTACTGGGTGCTTCAAGTTCTTGATTCCTAGGCAATGTGTTTCCCAGTGCTTATAACACTACCTATTCAGTCCTTCACTACTGAAATCCTCTTTGACAGCCATTATTGGCCATCTTGCATGGCTCTTAGTTCTGCGCTTTAATCTCTGACTCAATGCTCAGTTCTGCAGCTCTTGTCCAACTGGAGGGAGCTGATTCACGTCAACCCTTCCCCTCAGCAGTGGTCTGCAGTGAGGCAGGAGCTCAGATCATTTGGCCCTTCCTTACATAATACTCCTTACAGTGCAGACTGTACAACAGTCTGCTTCCCAAAGGTCCATTATTCCTTATAGCCTGTTCACAAGCTGAAGTCTCTCTCTCTCTCCTCCCTTTTCCATTATTCAAGAAGCATAGAAGGACTAGCTTGGATAATATGTCTAATTTTTAGATGGTTACAGTAACATGCAACGAATCCAGCTCTTACTGGTTTTCCCCATGGGTTCCCAAGCCAGAGCACTAACTACTAAAAAGGAAGTCCAAAACAACTGATAGGTTTTGCAGACACACCCTTCTTTATCAGAACCTTCTCTACCTGTAGAGAAGTACTTACCAGTACTCTTAAATATTTGTTTACTGAGGACCTGCCAGGCTGCTCTATCTCTGCATTTTAACCCTCAGGTACAACATCCCCTTCCTTTTCCATAACTAAGCATGCTATCATGGATGAGGGGGTAAAGGTTGTAAAGCTGAGAGGCAGACATAAGGTGCTGATTTTCACTTAGGGTTGAACATCTTTAGGCACCTGATCGTAGCTCAGGCTCAAAGACTGGGAAGTAGACCAGAAAATCCATTCATCACTGTAAATCAATGTTTCCCTAGTGAAGCACAACACTGGAAGGTATGTAGAGTAAGTTCCTTCTTGGCTTGTACCAGAGCAGCCATAAGAGAATATTTTACCTGTTTCTCTGCATCCTCAGCTCTTTGCTCTGCTTCGATCACTCTCTGTTCCAATTCCTGCATCTTCAGAGCCAGAAGAGAAGGAGGAAAGAAGGGAAAGAAAAAAAAAAATTAATATCACCTGGAAATTCTCCTGTTTTACCCAGGAATCTTTCATTTCTTCTGCAAGTCTACAGATTTTTGGCATCTTTTGGGTTAACTGGACAGCTTTGATCAGGAAAAAAAAAAAAGAAAAAAAAGCCTTTGACCTTTTCCAGTCTTTTGCCCTACTTTGAATTTACCGGAACTGTTTTCTCATTAGTAAGCTTCATCATTAATTACACGGGTCAAGGGAATAGTCCCAAAGTCTTGATCCCATCTCTACAATTTACACACCACAGGCTGTCCCTGCAAGAAGCCTGTCTACAGCACGCCATTCTTTCCTGTTTTTATTTCAGCTAGGATTCATTAACAATGGTAAATAAAACTGAGCACATCTTGGAAAGCTCACAGCAGGTTCTCTATAATGCCACATTATAACCAACGAACACTTTGTTTTGGCTACAAAAGCATCACATGCTAATAACTGACAAGATTAACAATCATCTTAATTTTCCTATGCTTCTTTTAATTTTAAACAGCTTTGCAAACTGACAATTCTGTGATTCTTTATCTGAGTATTGCTACTATTGAAGTCTAAGGACACTGAACAGAATTTTACTCTAAATGTATATATATCTTTATTTATCAATTCCTTCTCAGTGAAATGCAGATGTACCTGGGGTTCCTCTAATAACTTATCACCAGAGCCCAGCTTTTTTTTGTTTGTTTGTTTGGTTTTTTGTTTGTTTGGTTTTTTTTAAATAGCAACTAAGGGTCTCATCCAGTGCTTGCAAGGTCATCTTCTACCACATGCCCTGCTTCAATGGGTCTCAGATTTAAGCACAGTAATGTGAAGGCAGTGACACTAAGGAATGCTTCATATAGTTTCCAGTGTTTACTTGTGCTTTACTAATGAAGGAATGACATGGAAGTAGCTTCAGAAGACTAAAAGAACCATGCTTCAAGCAGAAAACAAACCAGAAAAACTATAAGGGAAACCCAGCTCCTTCTCTCTCCAATGCATTTTTTGATTCTTGATAAAGCCCTGGAGCCAAGTATTCAGGTTGGTCACTATTAGGACTAAACCAATACTTCCGAAAAAGGGATTTATTCCTCTTGGATTGACCACCCAAAATGGTGACGTCAGCATTGTTGTGTTTCCATTTACCTTCCTTCAGATGACAACAAGACAACTCCCCATTTCATACATACCCATTGATCATAAGAGCAGACTGACACCTACTGACAAACGTACCAGAAAGGTACATAAGTATAGACACCTCAATGGCCACACAACTAAAAAAGAGTCATGCCATAGCCAATTCAAACCACAAAGATGAAAAAATGCCACATTCAGCATGATACCCATCAGGTTTGCTTTTTCAGTCAAGCAATCAAGGACATCACAGTTTAAGGAGCTTAATAACTAAATTAAGGACATTTCTTTGGCAGAGGAACAGAGGGATGCTATAGAAGATTGCACAGATGCCCAAAGGTCCTCTGACCAAAGACCCAGGCTCTGAGAGCCTGATAGAGACTGAGCTCAAGGCAATATAACACTGATAGCAGTGGTCTGGGTTACAACGAGTCTGTGTCCATTAGGAACAGTGATCTAGCCATGCATTTATCTATTAGTCTGTGACTAGTCATCACAGACAGGTAGCAGCAAAATATATTGGTGAAAGACAGATGCTAACTGGAGACATAACACACCTTGTGAATCAAAGACTATTTATGACAGTAGCTTCAGCATCAATGTCCTCTGCTAGTTTTCTGATGAATTGACAGGGTCTATATTCACAGCACAGACTTCAGGGCCTTTTCCCAAAGGTGACCCTCTTAGAATAACAATTCAATCCTCCACAAGGTGGGCAATCTCCATTAAAGACTCAGGTTATTTTAAGAAGACAGTCCTATTCTGACTGAAAAACTTCTTCTTGTCCCAGCTTCATGATGGTTTGCTTCACAAAGCAGCCCTGGTTCCTCATCAGGACAGAGAATGTACATTGGGACCATTCCTGATCACTATAGAGTTATGAAACTTCTTGGGCAAGCAGGGTGACCTGGATGAGTTCCAGTCAAATCAATTACTTTTGTCACCCTAATTCCCTCTGTAGCCTTATATGAACTTGTACTTTTCTTAACTTCCTGTATGATACTGTTGGGTTGTCCTACTATGAACTGTTAAATAACTGCTGTGTTTCTCATGTACACAAAATGATTACTTCGCCCATCCCCAGTGTCAGCTGTCTCACTGGAGCACATCCAGATTTAATACATTCATGCTTGTAAGGCTCTTTCAAATCCCTCAATGAATTAATAATAATGCTTGGTATTTACATGGGTCCTTTCATACAAAATGCTTTATAATTTGACAAATGCTACTAAGCAACTTGACCCAGGTCACATAAAAAAACCCCAACTTAGCAATGAAGCCAAATTCAAGTAACTCTTCTCCCCAACATTAGCCCAGACAGCTTGTATGGAGAGAAACCAGCCTGGTTGTACCGCCATGCTTGCATGAGACAAAAAAGGCTTTTTCCAAATGTCATTGCTTATTGAAATAAGACAGAGGCAGGTTTAAAGCTACCCAGATGGCCCTTCTAAAAGCTGCAAAAGATCCTCCTATCAACGATTCACAAAGCCTTTCCCTCTCCTGATGGCTCAGAACAGGCTAAATAAAATTGAGTGAAAAAAAGTTCCTGCATGTCTTAGCTTCATTTTCCTGCTGTTCTCCTACAGAGCTCACTCCTAAGCAGGCCATCTTGCTGCCAAGGCAACGGCCTGCAATGTCACTCACCAACAGAGAAGTACCCTGTTCTTTCTATGTGTACAAGAAAGTCAGAGTGCAAACAATTGCCTGTTTCCAAAGAGACCAGATCCCTGCTGATGTCCACAACAAGGCAAGACCCAGGGGTCTTGTGCCCCACGGGGGTCCAGCAGGATGGCAGAGCTTTGTCTTGGAGGCCAGGGCTGGGGTTCCTCAGCCACACTGACCTGCAGCCAGGCTCTGCACAGCTTGGGCAGCGCCGCTCAATAACTGAGACTGAGCTACCAACGTCGAAGTTCACACCATGTGAACTAGGGCACTGGCAGTTAAACTCTTGGGTTTTAAATTCCTCATGTTCTGAACTGTGATCTAGATTATTCAATCTAAGCGGATTTTAAAAATCTGAAGTATTTAAACTGTTAAGTGCACATTGTACTGCCAATGCCAGGCATGAGTGGTTGGGTTTTTTTTTGTGAGCAAGTTAAAATAGTAAAATGTGCCTTAAAAGCATAAAATTGGTTACAAAGACTGATTTAAAATATGGGGGATCAGGTTTTCAGGCCTGTCAGTCAGTAGCTTCCAGACCCCTGAGATAACCTGGCTGGTGAGCAAGTATCACACTGCTGATAACATTGTTCTTTACTTTCACTCGCAAAATCATTTCCACCACCCCGTCCCCCCCAAATTAATTTTTGTGTTGCTGCAAAATTAGAGGATCTCAGGGGTAACGCTTACCACAAGTTGGCAACACAGCTTTAAACTGTGCCCACTTCACATTTTTCAGGCTCTTCTCCCCCACCCTCTAAAAACCCTGAAAAGTACTCTCTCAAATAAGTCTGAATCTCCTCGTCCTCGCAGACAGAACTGGAGGTGGTATCACTATGCATAAACCATGCACCTCCTTTGCTTCTGCATCACTGCCCATCGGAGAGGGAGAAGGATGCAGCATGGCCAGGAGTCCCAGGTGCTGTGACTGCTGGGGAGCCCTAAGGCAACCAAGGAGGAAGGAGAGAGGGTCTCAAAAAAGGTCATTGCAGAGCAGTCAGGAACCTGAGGCATAGGACACTTCCTACCAGCAGCTCTCAGCATGAGCACTGTGTGCTGAGCACCCGCTCCGGTGCCTCCAGTCCACCAGCATCAGGAGAGACTGCTGGAGCTGGCTCACAGTCCCTGAGGCTCTCCCCTTCCCACATGACATTCAGAGTGGGGAACTGCAAACCTGCCAGCTCTCTGTCCCTCCAAGTAAGCCTACAATGGCACCGTACAGGTAGTTACAGAGTAACCTGACCACTGAACCATGCTGCTTCTTAATCTCAGCAAAGGGAAAACCGCGTGGACTAAAAGGTTGGACTAATGGCAGTCAGGCCCCTTCCTTGAGGCCCCTGCAGCAGATGACAATTTCATTCTCTGTCACGGCCCACAAACCTCCCTAAAGAGGTAGTCAGAAGATCTCTGGCAAATCTGTTACCCAAAAAGATAATTTGACAGGTGGGTTTCTTTGTTTGGCGTGGGAGTAATCAGGAAGTTTCTCAAAGCAGGGATTAATAAAGCGTGAGGTCACAGATTCCATAATGCAGCAAACGTAGAGTATTACACGAGTACTGGTTGTCTTTACCAGACCTGCACCACATCTATAGGTGATTTTAATGTACCTTTATCTAAATGGACTGTATGACCACTTCCAGTGTTTTCCAAGGTAAGTAGTCACTAAGGTCCATCTCAAAAGCTACCTTGAAAAGATAAAGAGGGCACTGAGAGTTGCACAATTTCTTAAAATATGAGGAGTAGAATGAACGTCTCACGCAGCGTACAGCATTAGTGGAAATGTAATTACAGTGAAACCAAGGATGAAAATTGCTCCACTCTGTGGGAGATGTCATTTGGATGTTTTTACATCCAAAAGCAACAAACAAGAATATACATATGAAAGTTACATAATACAAAGTGGAGCAGAAGTGAGTTTAGAACATATCTGTCATCAGGTACAACTTAAATGCATTTGGAGTAAACTGCAGTCAGTTGTAAAGATTTCAACCTCATTAGCAAACTGTGACTGAAAGAACTGTTCTCACTTTCCAATAGTAATTGAATATCTGAGCAGTCTTGGACTGGACTGTGATAATATAAGCCACATTTTGAAACAAAGAAGGAACCCCACAGCAACCTACAAACTTGGATTTTATGCAAGTTAGAGGTAAGTTAAAAAGCTTTAATTCAAATTGAAAAATAACTCAATTTAAGGTAACGAAAAAAACATCAAAAATCCACATCAGGATGGAAACAAAAAAAAAAACCCACAACAAAACCCTCAAATCTTTGCCAGTCCTCTTCCCTAGGTTTGCAAATTAGTTCACTTACTGCACTTGAAAGAGCTTAGTAGGAGATGCCTCTAAAACAACAGATGCCATGCAAGTTTCTAACATCCAGATCTCAAAGCATCTCAATCCTGCTCTTCAGTATCCCCAGAATGTTTTGACTGGGGATGCAATGTGGAGTGGAGGTAATGCTATGGCAGTACATGTACCCCTGTCCTTTAACAGTACACCATAGTTTGCACTCCTGTAAGCTTTTCTATTGCCTGACAAGTCCTGATCTGTCTGTTCTTAACCAAAATAGCCATCTTTGCTCTGCAGCTTCCTCAGTCACTTTAGATATCCAGAATCTTGCTGGTACAGTGTTTTCCAGTAGGGTCCTAATTGGTGATTTTCCAGTAAACAAGGCCAAATTCTTATTTTCACGAATACCACTTTACAACACTCTGACAGGCACACCTTTGTATCTCAACCGATAAGCAGAGTGCAATGACATACTGTAATCAAGGAAGAGATCCCCACTGCAAGTAAGAGTTTTATTGGATAGCTCTGCATTTAGGGATTTTTCACTTTCATGCCATAACTCAGTGCAAAGTAGAAGCCACCACTGCCTCACCTTCTCAGCCAGCAGCTCTCGGATCTTGCTTGCCTGCAAGCGGAATTTGAAGAGCTGGGACTCCAACGCAAGGCACCGCTTTTGCCAGTCCATACAGTTACCGTTCTCCACTGTGAGTTCTGCCATGGTGAAGTTAATCATCCACTTGGGATGTCGTCTGAGGTGCTCTAAAAATCCTACAGAAGAGAAGGGAAAAAAACCAAAATCCAACAAACGTATTTTAGACAGGTAAACTTTTCACCCCTTGTGCCTAGTCTTCCTTGGTCCCTGCTACAGGACTGGTAGGTAACAGAGGCCATTTCTCCCGCAAACAGAAGATGAAATGGTACTATCCCAAATTATTAATATTGCCCTCTGCTAGAGGTCATTCTTTTAATGGATAACAGATAAAAATTCAAATAAACTTTTACCTTTAGAGTGAGTAAATAATTTACTAATGCATCATACCGTATATTCAGTCCCTGCTGACTGTGGGGAGGTCGGACTAGATGACCTTTGGAGGTCCCTCCCGGCCTGGACAATTCTGTGATTCTGTTCCACAAACAGCCTTGCTGCCATCCTGACAGCCTTGATTAGCATCTACCTATGGACTAAGAGTACTTTTACTCCTTCCTCTTTTGTACCGGTATGGTTGTAAACTCTCAAGTGACAAAAACCTCATTAACATAACTCAGGTGACACATCCATTATTGACTTGGGGCACCAGTGCCTTATCTCATACAGACTGTTTTATGAGGATGTGATGTATGAAACAGCGTTCCCAACCCCTAACCACTGGATACAGTCAGTCCACAAGAAGAGCAGCTGTACCACATATAAACAATCGCTCTGTTAAAACATAAAGCGATCCCAGCCAGGAATAAGCTAGGGCTGAAGACAAAACATGCAGGTCTTCTGAAGTCCTTGACATCAAGAGATGTAACTCCACAAAGTTGAAAAAGCTGTGGCTTTTGAAGTTGTTTTATTTTCTTACTCAGTAACTGTTTTGACATTTCAGATACTGTGTGCTCAATTTTAAAAGATATGTAAAACATAGGTAATAATTGTCCATAACAAAATTCAGGCATTTGTTAGCACTCACAGGCAGGTTTACAGTATCAAGTCAGTCTGTGCAGTTCAGCAGCCAGCTGTATAACCCTACAATAACAAATGTTTACAAAGCCAGAATAGTTGTTAGTTCATCAGTTCCATCAAAACACTGAAACCCACACTTGTTAAAGGAACTTCTCACCTGCTTGCAGGCAAACTTGGTGCTTTCCTGAACTGGGGCCAAAGCAACAGGTCAAGACTTGGTAGAGAGCAGTGAGCCTCACTGCCTTTACATCTGCCTTTGCAGGGTGGAAAAGCTTAAGATATCCCTCTAGTTATACTCACTTGCCAGGAAACCTGACTCATATTTTGCATGTAAAAGAGGTCAGATTCAAGTTATACTATTATGTGTACTTAGGGTAAGTATACGTAACACAGCAAGCCACTATCCAGCTATATCCCTGCTGTTCTGAGTTAAGGAAGACACATTTTTATACCCTTTAGCTACAAACATTACCTGTAAGTTATTTTATATACAGGTTGCTTTGTTTAGTAATGGAAAGTTTTCCATGCATTGAGTTGCCTGCCTTCAGAAAAATTTGGGAAATCCTATTCCAGGGCAGAAGGTGGGTTTCATTAAAACAAGAAAAAGGCACACTCATATTTGGTACTGCATCACAGAAAACACTTGGCAATAGGAAGGAAGACCAGAATTCTACAAGTAGCACACCTCCAGCTTTACAGAAATACAGAGGCCATCCTTTTCCACAGCCCAGGAAAGAGCATCAATCTAATCTCTAGACCTAGCTCCTTGCAACCAGGCTATTTTTGGCACACTTCACAACACTGTAGGATGTCCCTCTAAAGTAGTGCTATCAGTACTTCTCAAGCCAAAAGACTGTACTAAGTCATGGAACACATATACAGTATACACATACATATATATACACATATACAACACCCTAAGTTTCTTTACATCTAACTCTGGTCTGGACATCATAATTCAGCTCTCAAATGAAATTATGTTCTCTTTCATATAGGTATAAAGAGATTTTAATTTTTATTCACAGACTTTATGTCCAAAGAGGACATATGAATGAATAAGATTAATTTTCCTTTGTGCCATTAGAGTTTATTTACCACACAGCTTATGCCAGAGCAAAAGTAATTTCCTCAGATAGTCCATAACTTCTGGTTGAATTATAATACTCATTTTGAATAGGAAGTCTAAGACTGGGACAGATGTCCTGAATCATTAAGTCTCATTCTTTCTCAATCTAGATAACTGCATCATAAAATCCCTTTTATGAAGGCAGCCCATCCCTAGAACCGTGCAGGCGGTTTTGCTCCCTGTTGTTCTAGAACCTCACCCCTCTAATGAGCCACCTTCTAATTATCAGCATATATGTAGTCATAACCGGCTTGTATCTGTTCATTCTTGTAGAATATTGCCCTTCAGCTTAGCTAGTTTTTTTTCCCCTCCCTCATATTTACTCCTTGGTATATTTACAGATATCAAAAGCTTCTCCCTAAAGACCTCATTTTGCAAGGCTAGAGATAAGGGGCTCTTTTAGGCTCACGACTTTCCCTCTGCACCTGTTCCAGCTTTAGTCCACATCCTATAAAAGAGCTGGGTTTTATCTTTCTCACTCCCCTTCACAGACCTGGGTGATCCCAACTGCACCTGGAAGGCAGCATGCAGCCTCACCAACGCCTCGTGCAAAGTATTATTTCCCCTCTTCCAGGGAACGCCTCACCCGATCGGATTTGCCTTTTTTGCAACACATTACACTGGTCATCGACATTCACAGACAATCCAACAGAATTTGTCTTTGCAGGTGCCAGGCACGGGAGCACAGGGGGCCCACTACAATGATATGGGAACAATAAAGCACAGGTCCGTGCTGGATCCCCACGAGGTCAAGGATCTCTGTACTACAGTCCCTTGCAGAATTTAACAGGCCCATGAAACACCTTATGCTGTTTCTAAATAGTGCTCTCCCAGGTTTTGAGTCCACTTTATTACTACTACTGTGCAATTTTACTCTGTGTCATTAGAGTTTTTCCCACCCTTATTAATCCCCTGGGTCAGTCAGCTCTTCCAGTAAAATACCTACTTACTAACAGTCCCCCTTCAGCACAGCATCATCACATTCTGTCATTTCTTTAACTATCTTATCTTTCTTTTATTGGATCCCCATCTCCTCCACTTAAGCTAATAACTTTCCCATGTGTCATCATGTCAAATGATTCTTGAAGGCCAGAGATTAGAATGACAGCTTTTTCTCTCTCTAGCAAAAAACTTACACTTTTTTTCAGAGAAAGATAGTGTATCACAATGTCTCACATTTACCCCTAAATTACAACTTTATTTATAACTTCAAATTTATTCCAAATTCTCACTTGCTGTTAAAAGCAACGTTCCTTCTCCCCCATTCACCTAAACATAAGCAGTTCAGCTGTACTTTATGAATTACAATATCAACTTTATTTTGACAGACTGACTTTAAATCCTTGCAACTGGACCTGCCATTTCATATGCCATTTTTTTTGGTAATTCTTAACCATCTTAATCCACTAAATTCTTTTATTTCTCCCTGACCCCCTCATACCGGTACTTTTCATACCAGCTAAAAAACTTATATGGTTATATAAAACATATTTATATGGTTATATAAAAACTGTTTTTTTCCCTGTTGGCATATGAAGAAGTTGGGATTCAAATACTTTCAGGTGCAGTATTCTTACTTTGGAACTTGGAAAATAAGAGGCAGATACTTTGTTTCAACAACCTGAGATTTTCAAAACTTCATTCTTAAATGCACACAAACAAATCTGAAAGAGCTGCTTGATTTTCAGTGTTAAGTGTCAAGATAATGGGACCTACAGTCCTTAGAACTTAGTGGGGGGAAAACTGACTGAACCCACTGCTAAATGCAGACATGACACTCCTAGTTTTGACTATATCTGTAAGTTTCAATCAACATCAGAGAAGTTTGACACTAAATGCTACATCGAAAATAAATATGAATATATTTCCTTAGAGTGCCCATATCCAGTTGCAATTCTGATGAAGCTAACATTTATATCAGAATGTCATGAGTTTTTTGGTTTTTAGACCAGAATCAGCTGATGTCCCAGATGTGGATCCAGACCAGAATTCAAAACACTTCAGAGACTTTGCATATTTCCACCTGAAAAGCTATCTCAGAATAAAAGCAATTGATCAACATGAAGACTTTCAGGTGCAGGTAAAGTCTTTGCAGCTTTGTTAACTCAGTGCAAACAATGCAGACAAGCAAAACAGTATTTCCATGTTTCAAATGCATCTCCTCAGCTGAGGAATCTGTTTACCCATGCTGTTATAGGGGATTCAGTCAGTAAAAGAGTGCAGCTCTTAGCACCTGCCAGCAAAATGCACCAGACCCTGCCTGAACACCAGAGCTGAACACTGGTCTACCTTTCAGCTACCACCTTACAAAAGGAATCAGTGGAAATCTGACACGTGAAGGGAGAGAGATTTCCTCCAATGTCACTGCATCAAAACCAAGAAGGCTGGCAGTATGGGTGATGGTCAAAAAAAATCAGTGGGGAAACCCTGTACTACTAATCAAGTCCCTGCCCCCAATAACCTCATTTTCCACTTCGCAACCAGCTTCACCCCTCAGCTTTTTAACCCCCGAGGCCATTGGAATTGTTCAGCCACACGCTCATTTCCCATTCACGAGTGTGGCCTGGGATGTGCAGAGCATGGGGAAAAAATAACATGACAAGCCGTGGGAAGGGCAAGGTTTGGCAAGGGCCAGGGGAAAGAAAAAAAATATATATAAAATTTCCCCCTATATCAGTGCAGGTGGCTTGACTAATAAAAGTGCCAGAGGGCAAGAAGATGGCTCCCGGTTTTGCCACTCTGCTTCCAGAGGTCTTGCCCCACACACCCAGGCTTACCAGGAGGACAAGAAGGGACGGTGGGACTTACTCTTGGGCTGCGCTTCCCCCGTTCCTCCCCCCACCTCCTCCATGCAGCTTCAGGGACCAAAGTCCCAGACCCGAAGGCAAACTTACTTATTTTAAGCAGCAAACCTCAATTAACAGAGATGACACAACATCACCCCCAGAACCGCTTCCTTCAGTCCCCTTACCATCA